TATTACATAACCCCTGTAAAATCTTTATTTATCGTGCGATTTTTACCAGATTTGTTTTAAAGGTAAAATCTTAATAAACTGTATTTTTGAAGCAAAAACGCCATATTTTTACTAAATACAAGGCCTACTATGTCAGTTTTTAAGAGTTAATTTTTAAGAATTCATATTAGCGATTTTATAAACAAAATCTAAGCACGGCACTGGATTCACCACCCCTCAAAATGACCTATTATATTAAAAATGTAAATTGAAAAATATAGAGAAATAATAACTACAAAAATTTATTTTGTCAAGTTATACATGAAAAAAACATTGAAATAAAATTAAACTAATAGTATAACATTATTATAAGTTTAATTTTATTTCAATGTTTTTTTCATGGATAACGGCGGAATAAATTTTTGTAGTTATTGTGCATTTTTCTACTTAAAATTTTTTAATAAAGTTTAGTAAAGGGTCGTTTTGAGGGGGTGGTGAATCCAGTGCCGTGCTTAGATTTTGTTTAAAAAAATCGCTAATATGAATTCTTAAAAAATTACTCTTAAAAACTGACACAGTAGGCCTTGCATTTTGTACAAATATGGCGTTTTTTGCTCCAAATATACAGTTTATCAAGATCTACACCTTAAAACAAATCCGGTTAAAATCGCACAATAATTAATGATTTAACAGGGGTGAGTTGTAAAAAAATGGGTCACATTGTATATGTACTGTTTTGCCTGCAAGTAGTTTTTTAAAAACTTTTCAAACCGATTCACTTTTGAAAGAATTATTAATAATATTATCAATAAGTTTTGTTATTTTAATATTTATTAGTAGATATTATTATTATTTTTAATATTTCAATTGTATTTTTGTATTATTTTTATTTTTTCTAATTTTTTTGTTATTTTTACTATTTTTATTATAATTATTTTTTTGTTAATATTTTTATTACGTAGGTATCTACTTCAATTATTTATATTCCTTTTACAATCTTCATTATTTTTATTTATTTTTATTTAGTTTTATTGTATTATTTTAATTGTTTTATTAATATAATTTTTATTTATAATTTTAAAAAATTAATCTTATTGTTATTATTTTTATTAATTTTTCTAATAATTATTATACCCAATCATTTTGAATATATTTATTAGTATACTTTTTTATTATTTTTATCAATTTTACTTTTTTAATTATATCTTTATTTCTAATATTTTTATTTTTAATATTTTTTATTATATTTTCTATATTTTTATTATTATATTAATAAAAATATAAGAAAGAAATTTAAGTAAACAATAAATAGGGATAATTAAAAAACATAAGTAAAGTAAAACATTTTTATCTATTAACTTATGAATAATAATTATTATAATTATAATTATCATAAGGGTAACTAATTAATGTTTTTTTCGTTTTTCTTAAGGTGTTGGACTTTGGCTTTAATAATGGATACACTTCTTTTTATTTTCTTTTGTTCTAGAAAAGATTTAATTTCTTTGCTAGTTGAAGTAATATTTTTTTAATATGGTTAAGGAATTTATCCTTTATTAACCCGATTTCCATATTTGTGCAGATTTCTAAAGGGTGCCAATTAAAAGTAAAGAATCCAAAAATTAAAACGGCAACGGATTTTCATATTTAATACCTAAAAGATCATCCTCAATTTTTTTAATATGGTTAAGGAATTTATCCTTTAACCCGATTTCCATGTTTGTGCAGCCTAAAAATAATAACACATTTTTAAACAAATAAAAGTGAAAAAAGATTGTGTGAGTAAAAAATATTGTTAAAATCATTTTGTACTTTTTTTGTTTAAATTCTGTATCTTTTTTGGTAATGATTTTATCATTACTAGTATCGTCTAAATCTAAAAGAATTATTTTACAATATCCATTTCTATAAACATAATGCATTTACCTAATTATGTACTAAAAACTTACTTACCTTGAAAACCGACTCTCTGGATTATTAATTAAGTCCTGGAAGATATATTTTTAACTTAAATCGTTATTTTACACTTAAGATGTTAGAACAAAAGCGAAACTGCGTAACAAATAACATATAAGAAGTATTAAAGATCATCTATGACTGCGCGAGATATTGCAAGGTTGCCAAATTTCGGAGGTAACAAATGTACGTATACATGACGGAGGTAACTTTGGTGTGGCTGAATCTGATTAAAAAGCGACACTAGCGCCAATTCATATATGGTGGAACTAAAAGTTCCTTTTTAAGAGACTGGGGGGTCAAAGTGACCTCCGAAATATTTTTGCACAGATTGATTACTGACACTCCCCCAATGTCAAAAATATGGTTAAACACTGTGACCTCCGAATTTGGAGGTCACAGCGTCATATATGAGGTCACAACGTATGAAGGGTCTCCGTTTTAGAGGTGACAATGTACCCTTTATCAATATATATATATATATATATATATATATATATATATATATATTCAATATATAAAATGGTTTTTGAATAAATATACGTATAAGATCATTGGAAAAAGAGATGGTGTTTCGTATTGCCCTATAGGGATACGTAAATTACGTCATACGTAATACGTCATTTCTTCAGAGCCTGAGGGTGATAGATCAAGCAGTACTAGTATAGAAGATCCATTTGCTGGTTCAGATGACAAAGACTTGGATTAAAAGTTTATTTTGTTGTAGTTTTTATTATTTATTTGAATAAAGTTTATGTTTTTTACGATTTTATTCTTATTACCGAAACCGGCATTTAGTTTATTAACGTCTGCAATTACAGACGCATGTCCCTTAATATAAAATTTTGGGATATACAAGGACGTGTCTGTTATAGCAGACGTCTGCAATTGCAGACAAAAGTTGGTGTGTTTTTGAGTAACCTCTAAAATCTGGAAGTGTCCGCGAATGTGTACGAATATATACGTATTAATATGTCGCAAAATTTTTAAGGGGACGACAAATACATTTCACTGTCATATTATGACAGTGAGGCGTATTTGTCGCCTCCTGAAGAATTTTACGAATGTAGAATCCAACATATTAGAACGTGGGTATCTGACATATTTGAAAATATTCTCAAAAGCTTCCTAGAAGCTCCATAAGAAACCTTCTAAGAACATTCCAAAAACGTACCTATTCTTAAAATGTTCTTAGAATGCTTTTTAGGAAGGTTTTAAGAAGCTTCTAAGAATTTAATTGCATCATTAAAAGGGTATCTATTGAATGTTTTAAAAGTCCCTAAGAACATTCTTAGCAATAAGGGAAGGTTCTAAGAATATTCCATTATTCCGAGTCATATCTTCTTAGAAGATACTTAGAATGAAATTTTGCTATCAGGGTGCCACTGTACCTAATAATTTTTTGTTAAAGTCGATTGTTATTTTCTTTCTTATTAAATATTGGTTTTACAAAAAAACGACAATACAAATAATTTATTTTTGCTTAAGTATTTAATTTTGACAAATTAACCGAAAGTCGGTTACCGAATTTAGCTTGCAAATATTATGCAACCAAGTAGGTATATATACATCACATATTTTGTTTGGTGTTTCGTATTGCCCTATAGGGATACGTAAATTACGTCATACGTAATACGTCATTTCTTCAGAGCCTGAGGGTGATAGATCAAGCAGTACTAGTATAGAAGATCCATTTGCTGGTTCAGATGACAAAGACTTGGATTAAAAGTTTATTTTGTTGTAGTTTTTATTATTTATTTGAATAAAGTTTATGTTTTTTACGATTTTATTCTTATTACCGAAACCGGCATTTAGTTTATTAACGTCTGCAATTACAGACGCATGTCCCTTAATATAAAATTTTGGGATATACAAGGACGTGTCTGTTATAGCAGACGTCTGCAATTGCAGACAAAAGTTGGTGTGTTTTTGAGTAACCTCTAAAATCTGGAAGTGTCCGCGAATGTGTACGAATATATACGTATTAATATGTCGCAAAATTTTTAAGGGGACGACAAATACATTTCACTGTCATATTATGACAGTGAGGCGTATTTGTCGCCTCCTGAAGAATTTTACGAATGTAGAATCCAACATATTAGAACGTGGGTATCTGACATATTTGAAAATATTCTCAAAAGCTTCCTAGAAGCTCCATAAGAAACCTTCTAAGAACATTCCAAAAACGTACCTATTCTTAAAATGTTCTTAGAATGCTTTTTAGGAAGGTTTTAAGAAGCTTCTAAGAATTTAATTGCATCATTAAAAGGGTATCTATTGAATGTTTTAAAAGTCCCTAAGAACATTCTTAGCAATAAGGGAAGGTTCTAAGAATATTCCATTATTCCGAGTCATATCTTCTTAGAAGATACTTAGAATGAAATTTTGCTATCAGGGTGCCACTGTACCTAATAATTTTTTGTTAAAGTCGATTGTTATTTTCTTTCTTATTAAATATTGGTTTTACAAAAAAACGACAATACAAATAATTTATTTTTGCTTAAGTATTTAATTTTGACAAATTAACCGAAAGTCGGTTACCGAATTTAGCTTGCAAATATTATGCAACCAAGTAGGTATATATACATCACATATTTTGTAAAGTTATGTTTGTGTTTTTAAATTGCAGTTCTGTGGTTCACACTTCCTCTGTGTTGCAGTAATATAAAGTTTATATTATAAACACGATGTCCCGCAAAACAAAGACCTCAAAAAAGCTAGGCAAACTAATTATTAAATCTGAATCAGATAAAGAGGAATATGAATTATCCTATTACATTAACGATAGGGTAAAATTAATGAAAGAAGTTCTAAAAATAATTGATGCCAAGAAGATTAAAAGTATGGCACCACATTGTTTAAAGGCATTTTATAAATATATATTTATATATCCTAATATTATATTATTAATAATCAATTATCATTAATTAACATCAACATCAATTATTGATGTTTTAGAACATGAAAAATGAAGACATTAATTCAATGTTACTTGAGGAACTTCTGGGAATATCGAACAAGAGGATGAAGTGCATTTTTAATGGACAACATTTAGAAGAAGATTCCACCGATCCAGAAGAAGAACCAATAGATATTATTTGATATTTGTTTACTTATGTTTTTTGTACATTAACTAAAGGATTTTTCAGATGTGGAGAAGAAAAATAAAAGAAAACACAAAATTAAAACAGAAGGTTTGAAAAAAAAGATCAAAAAAGAAAAAAACAAATCAAGAGACAAAGAAAAAGGTAAATCAGATCAGGAAAATTTGATGAGCATTTTGAAATTGCTGGAACTTCAAGCTCGTGCGAGAGCTATAAAATCTCAGTTAGCCTTGGAAGTCGCGAAAAAAAGCGAGACAGAAACAATTGAAAACATAAAAATTGAAAGCGACAATGATGATGAGGTGATCATTGAAGTTCCTGAACCTTATGAGATTGTTATACCTTCAAGTGATGAAGAAGATGGAAAGGACAATAATCAAAATAAACAAAGTGAAAAAAATGATAAAGAAAGAGAAATTGAAAAAAATAAAACTGTTCTTATTGAAGAATCTACCAGCAATGATAATACAGAAGAGAAGCAAATAATGGAGAGTGAAAAAATAACTGAAGTGGAAGAAGTGAATAATGAATGTCAAATTGTTGAAGGGGAAAACAAAAACACTGAAGTTGTTAAAAAATTGGATGATAAATCAGAAGAAACTAAAAATATCGATGAAAAACCATCCTCAAGTATTTAAGACAATGAAAAAAAAAGAAATATCTGAAGATGCAAAGGATAAAAGTGAAGCAACTCATAATGATGAAGATGAACTTGTTTTAAATGTCGATGAAGATGAAATGGATTTCATAATTCGCGATTAATTTAAAAACGTTTTTCTTCCATGGTAGGACAGCCATTCCACGCTACTCGGGAATTTTTGTAGCGTCCGTTACAATAAAAAATTGTGAGTAAAACTACCGTAATTATTATGCTTATAAGTTTATCACTTGTCACGCTTATATTAAATTATTCTTTTGCACATTGTTTGCACAGTTTTAGTACATTGTTTAAAGACAATTTTGCAAAGCTTCAGTCTATCTTATGCATGTCACATTTTATACACACTGTTAATGTGCTATAAAAAGGTTTAATATAAGCGTGATAAATGGTAAATTTTTGGTTTTGCACATTGTTTCATGTTCCATTTTCCACCCTCTGCACATTGTTCTCAAATAATTTTGCACACTTTTTGCACATTTCATTTTCGCCAGGGTAACTTTGTGTTTTAGATTTATAAAAAATTTGGCATTTAAAATTGTGCATTTTAACTTTTAAAATGTGCTTTTTCACTTCTAAAATGTGATTTTGACATTTTAAAAGTTGTTTTTGACATTCATGAAAAATTATTCTGACAATCTTAAATTTGATTTTGACATTTCAAAACGGGGTTTTGACCTCAAATGTGATTTTGACATTCAAATTTGTTTTTGGCTATCTTAAATTTGATTTAAACTTTCGAAAATGAGATTCTAAAATTTGTTTTTGACCTTAAAAAAATATTTTAACAATCTTAAACTTGATTTTGACATTCACTCGGAGATTCATTAAAAAATGTTTTAAAATATAGTTTTGAGGTTTTAAAATGAGGTTTTAATTCTAAACTTTGTTTTTGACATTCTTGAAAAATTATTTTGACAATCTATAATTTCATTTGACATTAATAAAAAATGTTTTGACATACTAAAATGTGGTTTTGAGATTCTGATTCTGATCTGAAATGTGATTTGACATACAAAATATTTTGACAATCTTAAATTTTATTTGTGGTAAGTACCTATATATATACATTCATATATGTATGTTTTGAGATTCCCAATTTTATTTTTGACATTCTTGAAAAATTATTCTGACAATATTAAAATTTGCTTTTGACAATCTTAAATTTAATTTTGCCATTTTAAAACGGGGGTTTGTCCTGAAATGTGATTTAGACATTCTAAAATGTGTTTTGACATCCTTGAAAAAATATTTTGACAATCTTAAACTTAATTTTGACATTAACTCAGATTAATTAAAAAATGTTTTGTTGTTTTATAATGTGGTTTTAAGATTCTAAAATGAGAATTTTACATTCTAAAATTTGTTTTTAACATTAAAAAAATATTTTAGAATTTTAAACTGTGGTTTTGACATTCTTGAAAAATTATTTCAACAATCTTAAATTTGATTTTAAAATTTATAAAAAAATATTTTGACATTCTTAAACGTAGTTTTATTTTTGACATCTTGAAAAATTATTTGGACAATCTTAAATTTGATTTTGACATTCATAATAAAAAATTTGACATTCTATAATGTGGTTTGAAACTCTAAAATTTGTTTTTAACATTCTTGAAAACTTATTTTAACAATCTTATATATAATTTTGACATTCTTAACACAATGTTTTGACACGTTAAAAGGAGGTTTTGACATCCTAAAATTTGTTTTTATATTTGATTTTGACATTTATAAAAAAATGTTTTACCATATGGTAAATATTTTAAAATGTGGTTTTGACATTCTTGAAAAATTGTTTTGACAATCTATAATTTTATTTTGACATTTATAAAAAAATGGTTTGACATTCTAAAATGTGGTTGTGAGATTCTCAATTTTATTTTTGACAACAATCTTAATTTTATTTTGACATTTTAAAACATGGTTTTGATCTGAAATGTAATTTGACATAATTTTTTTTGACATTTTAAAAAAAAATATTTTGACAATCTTAAATTTTATTTTGACATTCTAACATGTGGTTTTAAGATCCCCAATTTTATTTTTGACATTCTTGAAAAATTATTCTGACAATATTAAAATTCGCTTTTGACAATCCTAAACTTGATTTTGACATTAATTAAAAAATGTGTTGTTGTTTTATAATGTATTTTTAAGATAATAAAATTTGTTTTTAAAATAATATTTTAAAATTTTAAAATGTGGTTTTGACATTCTTGAAAAATTATTTTGACAATCTTAAATTTGATTTTGCTATCCATAAAAAAGGATAATAATGAAGTACCTAACTCATAATGATGAAGATGAACTTGTTATAAATGTCAATAAAGATGAATTGAAATGATTTGCAATTTATTTAAAAACCTGTTTCTTCCATAGTAGGAATTAACAAAAATAATGTATAGAAAAAGTTCCATCCCTGATTGGCCATTTTTTTGATAAAAAAAAATAAAACTTTTATTTATTATTTTATTATCAAATGTGACACTCATTAACAAAATTTCTTAAACAATAATTTACAACAATTCTTAGGCTTAATTAAATAGTTAAAAAAATTAAATTCTTGAGAGTTGCGCTTTTATGCTTCTAAGTTGATTCACTAAATGTTCTGTGTTTGGTTTGCTGTAAAGTATGGAAAACAATGTTGCTACAGCATCTTGGCATAGTGACGTAATTTTTCTCCTTAAAACAAATTAATTAATTACAGAATTTAAAAAAAAATAAAAACGTACTTTTCAATGCTATTAAAGGAATCATTATTATCAAGGAAATAATATATTAAAAATGATGTGGCTTCCGATAGATGGAATTCATTTTCTTCCTTTTGCCATTCTTGGTCATTTGCTGATAATGTTATGAGGCTGAAATATTAATTAATTTAAAAATGCTCATAATGAAAAAAATAACTTACTTATTATAAACAGCGACAAGTTTTTCAAACGGCACATTTAACGTGACCAAAGTTTGTGGTACTAAATTTTTGTCCCCCCTCAACCTCGAATTAAGCATTTCCAATTCATACACAATATTATCTAAAATATAACAAAAAAAAATATTAAAAATTACGACTTCAAAAAAATGTTAACTTACCTAAAGGAAAGCAGTTCAAAGATGAGGCATAATACCTGGCCAGATGCTTGACCTTGGTGAGCACTTGCGCCATTCTGTCGTTGCCAGAGCCGCTGCTTTTTCTCAGCTCGTTCGTCAGAATTTGACGCCAAATGTGCTCGATCAGCACATTGTCTGTGTAGCCGGCACAGTCGATGATTGCCAATTGGCACTCTAGTAGTTTGAAGGGCTCCGCGAAATTTTCATACAGCTACATAAAAGTACATGTTTTCAAGTCGCTAAGTAATCTTTTAAATAAATACACGTTCAATAGAATTAGTGCTTATCGTTAACGACATGTTAGTGAATTGGCCTGATTGTCAAGTTGTTACTTTGTCCGTAAGTCCGATAATTCGGGAGCGCTCTTATTGGTCCAATTATAATTCGAAAATTATGACATTTCATCGGTCCGTCAAGTTTCAACTTTGTACGTCTGACAGAGAAAGTTCAAATATTTTTAACTCATCCGTTTTTGACACCTAACGTTATTTTAAGATAATTTATTTTCAAATTTTTTAATTGTGATTCTAAAACGAAGTAATGACGTTTGTTAAGTGAATAATGTTGTACTGTTATGTTTTTATTTAATAAAAAGAACGGATAAAGACAAACAAAAAAATATTAAAATCAGAACTAAAAGGACATGCTTTTTTAAAACTATACATTTTTATATTAAGGCTAGTATATTTTTATATGGTATATACGCTAAAGAAGTATCGCCATCTGGTGGAGTTCGATAGCATTGTGTGAATTTAAGAATTGTCAACAATACATTTAAAGCATACGAACTGCACATCATTTTTAAATAAATAGGTCGTTTTTTTACAAAAAAAAGGAAGGCAGAAGTCTTGCAACGAAAAAACTAAAAAACTGGTTTAGTACTCGATTTCGATTGATTATACCTTATATCATTAATTAAGAAACTCAACGCTTATGTGCTTATATAGTTACGTTAGCGTGTGTATTTTATCTAAGGGATCATGGTGAATTATTGTGTTTTTAATTTTAAATAAAATTCAAGAACTAAATCGTTGCATTTTCATGTTTTGCCAAAGGATCCAATTCGGTAAGTACATTTGTTGGTGCAGAATATACTAATGATAACTAAACCTAATATAATTTATATTTAAGTTTGGACATTTTTAAGAAATTAGTAAAAAATAATTGTTGCACAAACATAACCTTAAAATCGAACATTTTTATATTTGAGTCCTCTAAAAAACGCCATCATCAGATGTCGGCGTTTTTTAGAGGACTCAAATATAAGAATGTTCGATTTTAAGGTTATGTTTGTGCAACAATTATTTTTTACTTTTTAAACTTTTCACGTTAATCATTACTAAAATGTGTATTTATTGTATCTAATAGATCCAATTTATATTTACAGGAACTGTAAATTTATTTCTTCATTCGGATTAACACTGTTTATTGGAAAACCGGTAAAAACTCAACCCAGGATTTCCTCTCGAAAAACCCAACAACACAACACATCGTGCCACCGTTTTTTCCGATATTTTTTAACATTTTCCGGCTTTATTCTCAAAAACATTCGTTTGTAACATAAGCGTTTGACAGCTGATTATTAAAAGTTATAGTTTTGTTACGATGCGATGCTTCTTTAGCATATTTACCTACCCTACTTAAATTTATTAGACATATAACTGTTAAAGTTAAAATTGTTGCCATAATTGTTACTCTGACAATTAAGCATTAGCATATGGCATTAGGTAAATTTAGTAAAGTGAATATACTGGCCCTTAATTTATATTTGTCGCCAAATCAATCCGTTAAACGTCATTAAAAAGCGGATGCATGAAAATTAGAACATTTCTTGTCGGACGATTTTATTGAAAAACGGATAACGGACAAACGCATACATGAACATTTAGCTTTAAGCCCGATTTATAGATTGCCTTCCTTCCTTCCTACGATTTTTGTATTGTTCATATTTTATGGGAGAAAGGAATGAAGGAAGGCAATCTATAAATCAGGCTTTAGTCGCAGTTGTCGTTGACATTCTAAAATTTGTGTTTGACTAAAAAAAACCATTTTGACATTTAAAAAAATGTTTTTGACATTCTTGAAAAATTATTCTGACAATCCTAAATTTGATTTTGACGTTTTAAAACGGGGTTTTGTCCTGAAATGTGATTTTGACATTCAAATTTGTTTATGACAATCTTAAATTTGATTTTGACATTTACTCGGACAAATGTTTTAATATTTTAAAATGTAGTTTTGAGGTCCTAAAATGAGGTTTTGATATTCTAAAATTTGTGTTTAACTTAAAAAAAATAATGTTGGCATTTTAAAATGTGGTTTTGATATTCTTGAAAAATTATTTTAACAATCTTAAATTTGATTTTGACATTCATAAAAAATGTTTTAACATTCTAAAATGTGGTTTTGTGATTTTCTAATTTCTATTGACATTCTTAAAAAATTATTTCGACAATCTTCAATTTGATTTTATTAACATACATAGAAAAATGTTTTAATATTTTTGAATGTGATTTGACCTTTTGACATTCTAAAATTTGTTTTTGACATTCTAAAATTTGTTTTTGACATGAAAGTTGTTTTTGGCAAGGTTACCTTTGATTTTTGATTCTGATATTCTTAAAAAATGTTTTGACATTCAAAAATTTATTCTTGGGATTTTGAAAAATTATTTTTTGATTTTGACATTCTAAAATGGGGTTTTGACATTCTAAAATTTGTTTTGAACAAATTATTTCGGAAATCTTAAATTTGATTGTAACATTCATAGAAAAATGTTGTAACATTTTTAAAAGTGATTTGACCTAAAATGTGGTTTAGACATTCTAAAATTTGTTTTTGACATTCTAAAATTTGTTTTTGGCATTCATAAAAAATGTTATGACATTCTAAAATAAGGTTTTGACATTTAAAAAATATGTTGGGAAGGTTTGACATTTAATTTGTGGTTTTTAAAAAAATATTTCTACTTAAATTTGATTGAAATTTATAGAAAAAAGTTTTAACATTCTAAAACGTGCTTTTGACATTCTTGAAATTAATTTTTGACATTTAGTAGAGGATCCCAAGTAAGGTCGACCTTCACTCATCTGCTTACCAGATGAAAATTATATTTTATCAAATAAAATATGTTTCTGAACATAAACCAATAGGGTTGCCATAAATAATATGATCATGGCTATAATAAATAAAAAATTAAAAAAATAATTTATTTTTTAAATTCCACCGACTTGCTTGCCAAATGAACTAAATTCCAATTGAAAGCATATAACATACAGAATATGTAACAGCTAGGTTGCCTACCTTTTTCTGGTCCCTATTACCTGGTTGCTTTGTACAAACAGGTAAGTTGATATCAGTAATTGCACTCATATGCTTACCACTTAAAAAATATATCAAAATGAAGGCAATTTTATTACGAATACAGTATTATAGGGTTGCTTTGAAAAATCCGTTCATAAATAACGGTTGCTAGACTTTTAAATTAAAAAATTGGAGCAAGCAAAGATGTACTATCGCTAACAAAAAAAAACTTATACATCTATATTGTGGCTGTGTGAATAAAACTTTTCCGTCAATGTCAAGGTGACATCAAGCTGTCACATCAATTATGACTTTATGAACAAAATTTAGTATTTGAGTATATGCTATTGAGAAGCGTTTTGGAGCAAACAGTTCGTTTATAAACACGTGTTTTGTGAAAAAAATAAAAATGGCGAAGAAGTGTTTTTTATGTAAATCAAGTGAATCAGTGATTGACTTTGATGAAAAATCTTTTGAGAATTGTTTTTTGAAGTTAGCGTACCGAAAATCTAAAGACTACATTGGTAGGATATCACTCCTCATGTTCAATATTTTTAACAAATTCATTAAAATCTTCATTGTAGATTTTTTTTAAAACAGTCACTTTTTTATAACATGAGGAGTGATATCCTACCAAGTCTATTAAATGTTCGTTTAACTGTACCTCACTATACTTAAAGTCTTTGGGCCATTCCACGCGTAACGGATAGGATAGTTGTCGTGTTTTTATTTACAAAATAATATTGTTCTATTATATTACCAATGTCAAATTTTTATAAATAGTTCTAAACTAAAGCTGTTTAACAAGGTTTTTATTTGGCAAAATTAGGTATCGTGGTTGACTCTTTAATTCCTTAAAAAATAATAATTTAAAGCGTAACGGACGGGACTTTGCAATATCCGTTAAGCGTGGAGTGGCCCCTTTAGATTTTCGGTACGCTAACTTCAAAAAACAATTCTCAAAAGATTTTTCATCAAAGTCAATCACTGATTCACTTGATTTACATAAAAACACTTCTTCGCCATTTTTATTTTTTTCACAAAACACGTGTTTATAAACGAACTGTTTGCTCCAAAACGCTTCTCAATAGCATATACTCAAATACTAATAATACGTTTTTTTTGTTAGCGATAGTACATCTTTGCTTGCTCCAATTTTTTAATTTAAAAGTCTAGCAACCGTTATTTATGAACGGATTTTTCAAAGCAACCCTATACTACTGTATTCGTAATAAAATTGCCTTTTTTTGATATATTTTTTAAGTGGTAAGCATATGAGTGCAATTACTGATATCAACTTACCTGTTTGTACAAAGCAACCAGGTAATAGGGACCAGAAAAAGGTAGGCAACCTAGCTGTTACATATTCTGTATGTTGCATGCTTTCCATTGGAATTTCGTTCATTTGGCAAGCAAGTCGGTGAAATTTAAAAAATAAATTATTTTTTTAATTTTTTATTTATTATAGCCATGATCATATTTTTTATGGCAACCCTATTGGTTTATATTCAGAAACATATTTTATTTGATAAAATATAATTTTCATCTGGTAAGCAGATGGGTGAAGGTCGACCTTACTTGGGATCTTAGACTAATTCTTAAAAAGTTATTTAGACAATCTTAAATTTGATTTTTACATTTTAAAATGTGGTTTTTGCGTAAAATGTGGTTTTGACATTTTAGAATTTGTTTTCAACATTAAAAAAAAAATGGATATCTTAAATTTGTTTTCTTTGTAATTTTTGATATTTAAATGTTTTAGAATTTTAAAATGCGTTCCTAATTGTTGTATATTATTTTATAAAGTACAGGGTGTTTTTTCGGGACACCCAGTATATTATAATGTTTAAAACACCAATATTTACACGCAAAAAGATTAAAACTCACCTGCGATATTTCAAATAATCCAGAATTCAGAATGGTAATAACTTCTTGGGCATTCGGAACGGAATTTTGCATATTTGTGATGGCATCGAGGATTTGTTCCTGCACCTTGGCTACCTCCATTTTGTCTTCCAGATCCCTCAAAAACACACCCAAACAAGGCGCATAGCCCACTTTGTCGCTTCTCATGCACATTATGGCCCTCGCCAAATACGACAGTCTTTCCTTCAGGCTGACGGCGCCCCTAAAAATGTACACCAGTTTGTTAGGTGCAATAAATCAGTGCAGTCCCAAGCAGCATTTTTGGTTCCAAAAACCATTACCAAAGTGGTGATAACTTTAAATTAGTTAAGTATACTAAACAGCTACTTTAATTTCTAAATATAGCAATATTTTGTAAAAGAAACTTCATTATTTCCTTAAGTGGTTACTATAAAGTAATAAACATTTAAGTAAAACTTGGTTGCCCCCAAGAAGACTTTGCAACTTTAAAAAAGGTGTTATATGTAAAAAAAACTTTTAAGTAAATTTAATTTGTAGCAGTTACTTTCGGTTGCTACCTAAAGATTACATTATAATTATTTTTACTTTGTAGTCCCTTTGTAAGTTAAAATCTCGAAACTGGAACATGAGTTACTACAAACTATAAAGTTAATAACTTAAAAGTTATTATTTTAGTATTTGGAACGTTTATGGTACTAACCAAAACTACCGTAATGTAAATTAAGGTGAAAGAAAAAAAGTAGCGAAAACTACTTCAAAGGAAAATACTTCTTATCGGCCATTTTTTACTGTACAGTACCAGGTGGTAATGTAAATAATAAATTATTTTAATTGTTTGTAAATAGTTGTTTACTTTTTAATAAATAGTAATTTTGTTGGTAATAGACGGTATTAATAATTAAATAAAAAATTAATAATACATATTAAGATTTTTTTATTTATTAAGATTATTAAATAAATAATTTGTTTATACTTAAATATTGATGAAGCGCATTTATTTTACAAAAACTAAATTTATAAGTTCAACAGTAAAATTTAAAGGGTTTATAAATTTACCTCCCTAATTATGTTGAATGTAACAATCTGCACTAGTTGTATGTAGTATGATAGTTAATATTGTTAATATTAGTTGGCAATGTAAAACAATGACAATGTAGTAGTCCATAAATAATTAGAAGTTAAACTGACAGAATTTTTTAAACGAATGTGTTTTAATTAATTATATAAAGATATATTATTAAAACCATTAACTTTATCAGGTTATGGGCCCAGATATACGTGAAAAGTGCGTGTAAAAGTAAAACGGCCGAAGTCAGTTTGTAAAAGGTCTGAATTTCTGGAAAATATTTTTTTCAAGACATCAGTCAAAAATGTGAAACTCTAATTTTGTTGTACCAATCTTGGGGGCAAGTAATTTTAATAATTGGAACTACCGAATAACGACAATATTAAAACGGGAAAATTGTGAAGACACTGTAACCCAAGAACCACCCAATCTAGAAGAAACTCAACAAGAAAAAGCTAATTGGAAGAAGAAGGATGCAAAGGCACAATCAATTATTGTAGCAGGTGTGTCAGATAAACATTTAGACATAGTAAAAGACTGCAAAAATGCCAAAGAACAAATCTTAGCATTAAAAAACGTTTCTGTTATCATTACCAATAAAGTTTGATACAGTAGTAACTGCCTTAGAGACAGTTTCTGATGTAAAAATGGACTTTGTTAAAGCCAGACTGTTAGACGAAGAAATAAAAGTAAAGTCCATGACTGAAGGTAAAACTGAAGACAGTGAATCAAGTTTCAATGTATTTACACAAAAAGGATGCTACACATGTGAAAGCATGCAACATTATAAATTTAGGAAATTTTAGAGGTCAAGGTCAAAGTTATAGAGGGAGTTACAGAGGTTATAATAAAGAAATAAGGAATACAGAGATTAAAAAACAACAAGCAAATAGTGCAGAAGGAGAAATACAATTATATGCAGCAAATGTATGTGAAAGTGATGGAAATGCAGTATTTATTTTGGATTCAGGAGCAAGCAATCATTTTGTTCAAGAGGGTCTAGAAAAATATATGAAAGATGTAAAGACACTGCCAGATCATTTAAAAATTCATATAGCAAATGGTGGTTCTAAAAATCAACAAAATAGGTATTTTAAACACAAAATGCCAAGGGCTAAATGAAGCGTTTATAGTACCAAAGATGAAATACAATATATTATCAGCTTCAAAATTTACATCAAGAGGTCATAGGATCGTTGTAGAAAAAAATAATACATCATTAGAAGGAAGAAATTTTATACTAAATTTTGAAAATAAAAGCGGACTTTATTTATTAACTTTGGATAAAATAATTAAGCAAGATGAATCGTGTAATATGACAGCTCAAGAAGAAAATATATATGGCATAAAAGGTTAGGACATGCAAGTAAAGAAAATCTAAAACAGTTGGGATTACCAATTTCTAACAAAATTTGTGAAAAATGCGTTGAAGGGAAGGCTACAAGAAATTCTTTTAAAAGAAATGAGAAATCTGCACTGAGCACTGGTTCATAGTGACGTATGCGGACCACTGAATCCAAGCACAATTGATGATTATTTAAATTTTTTGGTTGTAAAAATACTGAAAACAAAAGATGAAGCCGATAAAAAATTAATACAGTATATTAAAGAATTTGAGAGACAACATGAGGTTAAAGTAAAAGCAATCAGACTGGATAATAGGGGTGAATTTACTTCAAACAAATTTAAAGAATTTTGTAAGCAAAAAGGTATTTTATTGCAATATTCTTTGCCATATACACCACAAAGTAACGGTAAAGCAGAGAGAATGAATAGGACATTATTAAATATGTTCAGAATAAAGATAATTGAATCAGGAATACCAAAATATTTATGGAGAAGCCCTAAAATGTTCAGCATATGAACTGAACCGAACCCCTACTACAGTACTACCAAGAGGTGTAACACCATCTGATATTTGGCATGGAAGAAATGACTTAAGCAAACTTAGTATTTGGATGTCAGGTATGGTATACTGTGTTACCGAAAAGAAACAAGTTGGATCCAAAAGCAAAAGAGGCTATAATGGTTGGATATTGTGGAGGAGGCTACAGAATATGGATGCATGAAGAAAAGAAACTTATAAAATCAAGGGATGTTAGATTTAATGAGTCAGTTATGAAATATAAAAATATGAATTCAGAAAACAAGTAAAAAGAACAACAAAGGGAAGAAATTATATATGAATCTAAAAATACAGTAGAAAATAAAGAAAGAGAAGAATATGACAATGAAGAAAATGAAGAATATAAAAATGGAGAAAGAGAAGAATATGCATATATGACAATGAAAAAAGCGAAGAGAACGAAGTAGATTTTATACAGGGTGCTGATAAAGTTGAAGTAACAAGGAGAAGCACAAGAACGAGACAAATACCAAAGCGTCTTCAAGACTGAGTTAAATACAGAATTCCAAGCAAATTTCATGAGTGCATTATCAGCAGGGTGTCTAATGTCTGATTTGCCACAAAACTACAGTGAGGCAATCCAAGATTGTGAAAGTGAAACCTGGGAACTGGTTAAACCTCCAGAAAATGTAGACATAATTGATAGTAAGTGGGTGTTTCGTGAAAAACTGTTAAAAAGGCTAGACTTGTTGCTCGTGGATTTCAACAGAGATCACTGGATGAAGATGTATATGCTCCTGTTGCACGTATGGTTACAATCAAAATACTTCTGTGTTTATATTTGGAGTACGACATGCATGTATTACAACTAGACATAAGGTCAGCTTTTCTTTATGGTAAGCTTGACAAGCCTGTGTACATGTATCAACCTGATGGATTGAATAAGAATTCAGGTTTAGTGTGTAAATCTTTGTATAGTTTAAAGCAGGCCTCAAAATGTTGGAACTCTTTAATTCACGGAAAAATTATTGATTTGGGTTTAAGGAGATCCCAAAAAGATCCATGTTTATACTTTAATAATGAAACTTTTTTACTGGTTTACGTAGATGACATAATTTTACTTTCAAAACATCTAGAAAATTTAGAAAATATTAAAAATAAATTATCAAAAAGTTTCAAATTAAAGGAGTTCAAAAATAAAAAACCAATGTTTTTGGGTCTTGAGATTTCTAAAGTCAATAATGAATTGTATATTAGTCAAAAAGGGTTGATTAAAAAGGTATTAAGTAGATTCAATATGGATGATTGCAAAATGTGTGATTTGCCTATGCAAACAAAATTGCAATTACCTGTGGAATTAACAAATGTTAAAAAATAATATTCCATATCGTGAACTTATAGGTTGTTTAATGTACCTACCTTATGTTAGGTTCCCGACCTGATTTAAGTTTTTGTGTGACATATTTTAGTCAGTTTCAAAATTGTTATTCTAAGGAACATTGGGTTCATTTAAAGAATGTTTTAAAATATATCAAACAAACAAAAAATTTTGGCTTAAAATTTATCAAAAGTAATGATTCCGAACTTAGGCTAGTTAGTTATGAAGAGGCAGATTTTGCAAATAGTATAGTTGACAGAAAAAGCATTACTGGTTTTATGATAAAATTGAATAATAATCTCATTAATTGGAAAACAAAGTAACAAAATATAGTAACTCTATCAAGTGCAGAGTCAGAATATGTTACTCTTTCAACTTGTATTACTGAAAATATTTTTTCTACTCCTATTACGGAATTTGACCCTTCTAAAATCACTTTTATCTATGGAATGACATATATTCCGTAAAGTGTAACAGAATGAAATATTCTATCATCCTATGACAGAATAAACACTCGTGGCGACATCTCCGTTTTTAATATCTAATAAATTTTAGACCGATCCAACCTCACTTTCTTCCAATCAAATGACTTTTCTATTGTATTTTTTGGAAACGTAGAAAAAGTATAGTCTGAAACACGCCTTCGGCTCGTGTGACAATTTTTTCACTCGAGCGGAATATGCAGAATATACTATTAAATTGTGCTCCTTAGTTTCAAATTCTCTGGAACGGCTGTCTATCAAGTGCAGAGTCAGAATGTTGCTCTTTCAAGTTGTATTACTGAAAATATTTTCTTAGCTCAAATTTTAACAGAAATAACAAATTTTAATGTTTATCCAATAAATATTTTTGAAGATAACCAAAGTTGTATAAAGATAGCTTCAACTTTAGAGGCGAAGTGTAGTAAACATATTGATGTAAAACATCATTTTGTTCGAGATTGTATAGCTCAAAATGTTATTAACTTATGTTCAAACTGATAAACAATTAGCTGACATGTTTACAAAGCAACTTGCAGGAGTTAAGTTTAAGTATTTTAGAGATTTATTGAATGTATGTTTAATTTAAATTTTACAGACTTGCAGAATTGAAGGGCAATGTAAAACAATGACAATGTAGTAGTCCATAAATAATTAGAAGTTGAACTGACAGAAAGTTTTAAGCGAATGTGTTTTAATTAATTATATAAAGATATATTATTAAAACCATTAACTTTATCAAATTAAACATTATATTGTTATTCTGGAAGTTATAAACTACCAGTACATATTTAATAAACAACGACATTGAAAAGCCAAGTCCGTAGGAGTTCCATTTAAAAAAGAAGGGATAGTATATAATCTAATATAAGTTTGACAAAGACAGTTAATATAGAAGTAAAAACAAATAAATAAAACTAATTATGACGCTCTAGCAACGATATTGAAACGTTTTAGTAACGTAGCAGCTGCGTTCCAAATAGCAGTAGGGTTTACAGCTAACGACATAATTGCTACTAGTCCAGTCATCTAGGCATTTTACCTCGGAATCTAACGGAATAAGCTGAATTTTTGTACAAACCTTTATTTTAGCATTACAAATGTTGTCTCAAAAGTCACATATGCCAACGTGTGAGCGGCCTTAGATATTCAAGGTCAAAGGTCGTAAAAATCATTTTTTTGAGAATATCTCGTTTTATCTGCATCCTATCGTATTTGCATTTATTATGAAAGTTGTAGAGAATAAAATTTTCTACAATTTTTGTTTAAAACATTTTTTTTAACGTCTAATCGTTTTTAAGATAGAGGGCGCAGAGTGTGGAGCGCTCAGCCATACGTACCTTAGCGCAAGGTAAGGGTGAATCTCAATCTATTATACCGTTTTTTTAATTAATTATTTATTATATATTACTTAAATAACAATTTAATACCTTATATTAATTTTTATATTTCTTTTAAATCAAATAGTCATTAAATATTACTTACCTTTGACATACATACAAATAATTAAATAATGAAGTGAATCATTCTAAATATATTCTAATGTTATTCTAATTAATGATAAATGCATTTTAAGGAGAAAAGGCATTAAATGAATTTGCCTTGAATATATTATCTCTGGTCATCTCTTGGATCCAGATATTAGTTTTAAAATAACAGACCTGAAAATACTATACTATACTATGGAAAAAGGCAGTAACTACAAAAAAATGCAAAATGCGTTTTCTTGTTTTATGGTAAAGCTATTGACATTTTGTATTCAAATTCAACACAGAAATGGGCTTTTTACAAAAATGTTGTTTATGCTTATTTCCCACAAATTTCTTGTTTAGCAGTTACTGCCTTTCTCCATAGTAGGGCAGTATAGTGGGCTTGCTATAAATAAAAAGGTTTGGTATACCTTTTTATTTAAAGCAATTTAAGTTGTGAGATAATATTCGTAATATTTTAAAGGTTAACATGGCTGATTTGTGTTTTATTTGTAATAGGTTACCTACTGAATTTTTTTAAGATATGACAATAATAATTATTAATGTCAATGATAACGAGGAGAGTGATGATGAGAATGAGTCTGAAATTGCTGGTCAACCTGAAGAAGACGAGGATGAAGAAGATGAAGATTAATAATAATAATAATATTGATACAAATTAAAACAACATTAAAAAAATATTTTATTCATTTTTTCCTACTCTGATCCAATTATCCCTTCATTAAAATTAAATTAAAATATAGGTGTTATATAATTAATGATATATATTAAAATGGGTTGTTCCTTAGGGTCCATAAAGAAGCACCTGAAACTTTTTTTTTCTAAATTCCAAAGTCTAAAAATAATTTATAATAACCTTTATCCTACCAAAAAGTACGCCACTGATCGACTAGGAACTTTAGGTTAATCTGGTGGATTTATTATGTTATGGTTGGTAACAGTGTTTCCAAAATCTCTCAAAAAAGTTGACAAACATTGTTTAAATTTAGCTTAGATACAAAAATGACAAAATTAACAATGCAAATTGTCAATTTGGCGTTTTTATTAATTGTTGGTTATTTCATTTTTGTACTGAAGGTAAATTCAAACAAAATCTGCCAACTTTTATGACAGAATCTAGTGCATTTCTTTTAAATTTTAGGTTATGTTTTCAAATTGTAAATATCTTAACTAAGGGAAGTGCTTTTGGATTTATTTACACAAATTAAATGTTCACCTGTGAACTGGTCCCAATTTCATCTGAGTAAACAGAGAAAAAACTGATGAAAAAATTAATTTTGTGGTTATGGATTTCAAATTTCAAAGGTAGTAAATTTTCTAATCATTGCTTAAGCTAATAGCTGGATCATTAAAAAATACAGAAGGGTATTAGAGCTTTAAGGGCATAAAACTTTTGTATTTATTAAGTTTTTATTTATTTTTTGCAAGAAAAATTTTTAGTAACAATTTTTTACATCTGGCAACGCATAGCTACTTTGTTGGTTGGTATCTATGTACTCACAAAATACAGGTGTGCAGAGATAAACAAGTGTGTAACCAGTGGCGTATCACAAAAAATATAAAAAACTTCTAATGCATATTTTTTCTTTATCTTTGGAAAAATGTTTTTTTAAATATTTTTCCTTTATTCCTTATGTCAAAAGGTATTCAGTATTTTAATATATAACATTAATTACATAACACCCTGTATATTAAGATAAAAATATATTTGATTTAAAAGAAATAAAAGTATAAGGTATTAAATTGTTTAAGTAATATTTAATACATAATTAATTAAAAAAAGGTATAATAGATTGAGATTCACGATTTACCTTGCGCTAAGGTACGTATGGCTGAGCGCTCTACACTCTGCGCCCTCTATCTCAAAAACGATTAGACGTATAAAAAAATGTTTTTTACAAAACTTGTAGAGAATTTTATGCTCTACAACTTTTATAATAAATGCAAATACGCTAGGAGGCAGAGATATTCTCAAAAAACTGATTTTTGCGACCTTTGACCTTGAATATCTAAGGCCGCTCACACGTTGGCATATGTGACTTTTGAGACAACATTTGTAATGCTAAAATAAAGGTTCGTACAAAAATTCAGCTTATTCCGTTAGATTCCGAGGTTGATCCCTTTTTTTGACTAAGATGACTGTACTATACCTTTTTGGAACTCAATGATTGTTCCCCACTTTAGTCGTAACTTAGTAATGAAAGAGTAATATAAAGAGACCGGCGACTGTCGCAAAACACTTTAAAGTTTCTTCAATGGTCCCATATACGTAACAAATACTTAAATTGTTGCTTGGGGTATGTGCTGGAGGACGGGAAAAAAACAAAAGAAGAGACTTACCCCGACTGCGAGGCGAGCCCGTTGAGGATCTTGGCGGCGGAGGCGTGGTTGTTGTTGCTCTCGTAGTACTTCCACAAGAGGTCCATGACGGCGATGTTGCCGTTGTCTTTGTTCGAGCTGCGCTTGAGGAACACCTCCAACGACGGCTGACTGATTTTGATGAGGTCGCTGGTCATGTTTTTACTGACCATCCACTCGTACAACGCTATGTGCATTATTTCGTCGGGGTAGTCCAAAACTTGCGATATCACTTGACGGGTCTGAAATGGAGATTAACGGTTCGAAAAAAAAATGCGTTTTTTGTGGACCAACTAAAAAAAAATTATAAATGCAAAACTCAAAAATCCCTTACCCAACTAACTTTTCTGTAACTTAACATTGGCAAATTTGTGTTAAATCATTAATATTTTTTTAAAAGCTCTTTTGCTACAAAAATAGGTGAAAAATAAATAGCTGGGTCGGGACCAGAAAAAATGGACACAGTAATATATTATGGCACGCCTTTTCACTTTATAATCTAAATTATTAATATAAATGTAAAAAAAGAAAATTAAAATAAAGTTCTTTTTTTATCTGGTCTGCGGCAACGTTGCAAATTTAGGGTTTTGGTTGGTAAATACAGTTGTCAGTTGGTCGCATTGATTAAAACAAACTAAGCTAGTTATAAATCTAATTAATTAGTTAATTCTGGTTATGTATAAATTATTGTAGGTTATATTGTGCAGTTGTCAAGTTGAGTTGTCGAAATTCGTAGTTAAAAATGCAATTAATTTGGCTTTAATGGTGCTTGGATGAGTAAAATCATAAAAAAAAAGTAGAGCCCAGAAGAGACAAAGTATTCCTAGCGGATAAAAATCTTCGCTTTGAAAAGAATTTATATAAAAGAAATTAAAAATTTTTGTGAACGTAAATGTTGTCCAATGGTGAATAATGTGAAAATAATGTGTGATGTAATATTTGTAAAACCAACAACGTTACTTTTTTACTCCAAAAATGTCCATAAGGCGATGTACTTTTTCTTCCATTGTGGCATTTGGCATTTTATCAAAATGAAGTTTTGCCCTCAAAAGGGCTTTTACATTCGAATTCGTTGCTATTATCTTTGGCATAATTATCTTTTTATTTATAATTGACAAGTAAATTATCAATAATAATAGTATATTATTATACGAGAGATAATGCAGGCTAATATTCACGAGGATGAGGTTTACGTCTCGAGCCGCTAGTCGAGACCTAAATCATCCCAGTAAATAATCTCGAGTGTAATGCTATACTTTATCTACTCCAAGAAGTAGATAATTAAATGATTTTCAAAATTAAATAAATAAAATCTGACATCTGTCTTACTTTTTACCAATTTTAAATGTTTTTATAGTCGCCTTCTTCCAATTTAAAACTCGATTGGATCAAATCACAGTGAATACTGAAATTGGCCAATCACTGACATGAATGACTGACAGTGTCAAAGTATTTAATTAAATTCTTTAGCAGAAGTACCATTTTTTGACTAAAAATACTAAGTCAAACTGGCATAAGCCACCAAACTAACAAAAAAACACGAGTCCAGATAAAAAAAAAATGAACTAGGTTTTTTAAATTATGGAATATACACTAAAGAAGTATCGCTATAGCGCCACCAATTGGCTGTTATTATCGTAACAAAAGTACAACTTTTAATAATCAGCTTTCAAACGCTTATGTTACACACTAGTATTTTTGAGAATAAAGCCGGAAAATGATAAAAAATATCGGAAAAAAACCGTGGCTCGATTTATTGTGTTGTTGGGTGTATTTCGAGAGGAAATCCTGGGTTGAGTTTTTACCGGTTTTCCAATAAACAGTGTTTATCTGAACGAAGAAATAAATTGCATACAGTCTCTGTAAATATAAATTGTACCTATTAGATACAATAAATACACATTTTAGTAGTGATTAACGTGAAAAGTGTAAACATTTCAATTCAGTAAAAATCGTCAAACAAATAAGTCGTCTAAATTTAAACAGCATTTAGCATTATTAAAAGCGTTGATTAAGAACGTTAAAATACCATTATATTATGTATTATAATAATAATAATAATTATATATAATATTATGTTGCCATAAATTCGTAGGTATATTTTGTTGTTTAAAATGCAGTTGTCGGCGTTTTTTAGAGAACTCAAATATAAAAATGGTTGATTTTAAGGTTATGTTTGTGCAAAAATTATTTTTTACTAATCTCTTAAAAATGTCCAAACTTAAATAAAAATTACATTAGGTAAAGTTATCATTAGTTAATTCTGCACCAACAAATGTACTTACCGAATTGGAGCCTAGACATAATAATAATTCGCTATTTTTCCAACTTGTTTCCTTTTAATTTATGCTTGACATAATTTAATTTAATTATTATTGTCAGATAATTAAAATTATAAAAAATTATATATTCCATAATTTTAAAAAAAAACCTACTTCAATTTTCTTTAACATTTAAAACATTTACGATTAAAAAGTGAAATGGCGTGCCATAAATATAAATGTCACAAAAATATTGCACACAGAAAAATTACGATAAATAAATAATAAAACAACTTATACATATTTAACAACTAAAAAATATTAATTTTTCCTGGTCCCAACCCAGCTATTTTTGTGGTTTATTTAAGAAACATGCTTAAAATATAATAATAATAATTTTTTTTGACAAAAGAGGACGGACAAATTTATTATTATTTTCTTGTTTTTCAAAATAATCTTAAGGGGTTCTGTAAGCCGCAAGCAGAAAAAAATAAAATATAATACTAAAAAATGTAGATATACAGTTATCTCCAGATTGAGTTACAAAGGAGAAATCCGTCTTCTACAAAAATTATGAACTTCATTTGAAAAAAACCTATTTTTTAATAAGGGATACACTATTTCATTTTTTTCAACCAGTAGTTATTAGTTTGGTTCCGGCGCACTGTGTCGTATTTGACCTGTATAGGTGACCAAAAGTCGATTTCTGAAGTTGCCCTCACAGCAAAAAAATATACATAAAATTGATCCTCATGCTCTTCTTGACAATGTATACAGAGGCGTAGCTAGGTAACTAAAGGCCGTGGTGCAAAAAAAAACTGGGGCCCTAACTAAACTGTTTAGTTTTTATCAAGTCAGAATATAAATATATATAAATACTTTAAAGGTACAAAGATACTAGTATAAACTCTTTATCGTTCACTGCATGGCACAGCAAAACTACTTACTACATGTATGTTCATAAGTGTCTTGTGTGAGCTTTAGTGATCGCTTAGGTTCTACAAAAGAAGAGTTTAGGAACGTATACTTGGATTAATAATATTGGTATTGAGAAATAAAACGAAGTAAATCAAAAAGTTTATGCACGTAAGCAGAGCTGTCAGAAAAAAGTATCTTAGTTACTTTAGAGTAACTTAGTTACTTTAAAGTATCTAAGTTACTGTATCTTAGTTCCTTTATTTTTTTAACAAAAAGTATCTAGTATCTTAGATACTTTTTAAAAGGAACTGTATCTTGTAACTTAAAAAAAGTATCTTAGATACCGAAAAGTATCTTAGATACCAAAAAGTAACTTAGATACCAAAAAGTAACTTAGATACCAAAAAGTATCTAAGATACCACAAGAAAAGTTCCTTTAGTCAAGTTGTTCGAAACGGCCTCGGCCATCGAAGTTATTATAATAAGTATACTGGCGACTTCAGCGACTGGCGCCAATCGACTGGCGGCGATTTTTGTTATACCTACTTAATTTTTATTCACCTATACTTCTTTTATAATCTGTGACTTCGCCACCCGCTCTGTAGAAGGGTGTTTCCGTTCGTTGCGACTTGAATTTATAGTGGTAAGTCTGAAATAAGTTAGGTTAGGTAAGTTACTTGCACTTGCTTCTTTATGATGTACTGATATTGGTTGTTACATTGTACCGTACATTCTATAATGTTCAATGTATGTTTTCCATTTTAAATTTAAAAAAAAATGTTAAAAAAGATTAAATGAAAAGTGTGAGATAATTTTTTTATTTTTATAATTAAGTGGTGTTTAATTAACGATTTTATCTATTTTTATTTTTAAGATATTTGTGCCTAAGTTCGACACTTTTTGCATTAGCCCCTTCAATGGTTTTAATCAACTAGATTTTATTGAAAAAAATTGTTAAAAAAGTAAGCTTAAAATTATTTGAAAAATTAGGGTGGGGTTGGAACGAATTTTTGTTGGGCGGTTTATACGAAACTTATTACATAATATACAAAGTAACTAAAAAAGTATCTTATTAAGTATCTTAAAAAGTAACTTAAGATAAGTATTTAAGTTCCTTTTTTTAAAGAGTAACTAGATACCCAAAGTAACTTCGGATACTTTTTCAAAAAGTAACTTATCTTGTATCTAGATACTTTTTAAAAGTATCTTTGACAGCTCTGCACGTAAGTATGTAAAACACTTTATTGTACATAAGACATTAAAAACAATTTATATACGGATAAGTCATATACAAAGCCAAACATCTACTTAGGGGATCTCTTCCAGTTATTATATAAAAGTCAGACATACCTCCTATACTGATGTGTATACTGACAACAAAATAAAAATTAAGTTTATAATCTTTTCCTAGCCTTAGTTTTTGCAAAAGTATCAAGGACATCAGTTAAATCTAGGCTTGATGCGGCTTGGTTTTCGATTGCTATTAGCGATAAATGTTGGAGTCGAGCTTGGCCTTATATATACTATACAGGGTGTTATGTAATTAATGTTATATATTAAAATGGGTAGTTCCTTAGGGTCCATAAAGAAGCACCTAAAACTTTTTTTTTCTAAATTCCAAAGACTAAAAATAATTTATAATAACCTTTATCCTACCAAAAAGTACGCCACTGATCGACTAGGAACCGCGGATTAACCTTACCTATTACTTTTTAATGCAGTGTTGCAAATGTAAAATTAAAAATGTATTACCTTATTTGAGATGCTCAAAATGATTTCATTATTTAGAATGCAAGCTTAAACTCTGCAAAGCATGCTTTCGCGCACCCGCGTAAAATTTACAATTAAGTTCCTGAGTTGCTGCCCAAATCCCGTCTCTCGTAAATGTGGCCTCATCGGTATACAAAACACTATGGCTCCAATCAGCATCTTCTTGATTTTTCTGTACATACCAATGGCAAAATTCCAACCGCAGTGCATAATCTCCATCCTGAAGAGCTTGAACTTTTTGTAGGTGATAGGGGTACAAACTATTTTCGTGAATCATGCGCCACGTAACAAAGTTGGACATTTGTCCAAGTTGGGCAGTTAATCGTCTTGTACTAATTCTCGGATTTGCTTCCACTTCGTCCAAAATTTGCTCTTCAAGGGCCACAAATTCACGTCCCTGAGCCCGACCCCTATCACCAACAAATGCGCTAAATCTTCTGCGGTCCCTTAAATTTTGCAAAGCAAATACAAAACTTACTTTGCTCCAAAGGCGGTGGATGTGATAATTTTGAATATACCTACAAAATTCTAGCTTGACGAGCATTTTGCATCGCTTCCCCGTAACACAAAACCATATTTGTTAATTGAATATTTGTGAGCGCCCGACCCGCCATAGCATAAAATCTTTCGCACTAATTACTTATTATTATAACTAATAAAATACAAATTTTCAAACTTTCAAAATATTTATAAAAGAATAAAAACCTGAAAAAACTTGAAAAAAAATAAAAACCTGAAATCGCTAGATCACTAATTAGACCTATTTTTAGATTTAGATTTTTTAAAAATCGTTTTGACATTGTGATTTAAAAACATACTTATAAAAAATATATTTAAATTTAGACACACCAGATTTAAACTTTATTCATAATTCGTAATGATTTGCTTTACTTTAAGTTAATCTGGTTTAATTTATTATGTTATGGTTGGTAACACATTCTGTCAAAAAATTGTAGGTTATGTGCTCAAATTGTAAATATCTTAACTAAGGGAAGTGCTTTTGGGCGTTTGGATTTATTTACACAAATTGAATGTTTAACGATTAACCCGTGAACTTGTCCTAATTTCATCTGAGTAAACAGAAAGAAAAAAACCGATGAAAAAATTAATTTTATGGAGATTTTAAATAGGTAGGTACTAATTTTTCTTATCATTGCTTAAGTTAATAGCTGGATGAGTAAATAAATACAGAATGGTATTAGAGCTTTAAGGGCATAAAACTTTTGTATTTATTGAGTTTTTATTTATTTTATGCAAGAAAATGTTTTAGTAACATTTTTTTACAACTGGAAACGCACAGCTACTTTGTTGGTTTGTATCTATGTAGTACTTGTGTTCTGTGAGTACATAGTATGTACTCACAGAACACAAGTGTGTAACCAGTGGCGTATCGCAAAAAATATAAAAAACTTCTAATGCATATATTTTCTTTATCTTTGGAAAAATATCTTTTAAAATATTTTTCCATTACACCTTATGTCAAAAGGTATTCAGTATTTTAATATATAACATTAATTACATAACACCCTGTATATACTATAGTATTTCTTAAATAATTTTTTATATATTATATATTATTTTCACTCATTTTCTTAATTTTGAATGGAATCTAAACGGTACTTTTTATAAAATGAAATAAAAACTGTGATTTCAAATAAGCCTCAATGTTAAATTAAAGTTCAATATCTTTTTACTGGTCCCCATAATTATAATCTACTAATATGACAAATTTTAGAAAATTTTAAACGGTAACTCCCTGACTGAAAGTAACACCTTAAAGTCGTGTTGCCACCTATTTTATTTACATGCCAGCCCTTCGGTAGCTACGCCACTGAATGTATAACCATTTGTTTATTTATAAAATATTAATAAGGACCGTGACGTATAAAATTTTATAAACAATGCACAAACACATTTTTTTATATAAATAACTCGCGCTTGGTAAATATGTGATTAAAACTATAAATTATAATTAACAGCAGTTATATTTGGTAGATGCTTTAAAATAAATGTCTTTTAAGGTATAACGTTAAAAATTAAAAAAATATTTTATTTTATATACAGGGTGTTTCTTTTAACTTGATACAGCTCAATATCTCGAGAAATACGCATTTCACGGAAAAATGTCTTAAATAAAAGGTTAATGTGACCAAAGGGGACATTATTTGGGGCTACCGCTAGCCACCCCCTACCCCTCCTTAAGGGTGAAACGGGGGGTAACTTTACCGACCAGGGACGCTGGTGCTCCACTTGGTGTTGAAATGGAATGACGACATTTCGAACATTTGTTATAAATTGTTTTCATAGCCGACTATTGTTGTTAATGTTAATTTTTGTTTTTCAAACGTTTCAAATAATACATTTTACAAGGAAATTCATTTTTCTTAAATTTTGAATTACAGCGCCATCTGTTGTTAAATTGAAAAAAGTTTTAAATAAAAGTTATTTATTTTTTTATGTACTACCAAACTCTGTGAAAAAAATCGGGTCATTCCATTTGCCTTTCCAAAGTTACCCCCCGTTTCACCCCTAAGGAGGGGTAGGGGGTGGCTAGCGGTAGAACCAAATAATGTCCTCTTTAGTCACATTAACCTTTTATTTAAGACATTTTTCCGTGAAATGCGTAATTCTCGAGATATTGAGCTGTCTCAAGTTAAAAGAAACACCCTGTATAGTAATAGCCGTCCAAATTTTGTCATTTTTTTAATGTGCATTCAAGCAAACTTTTTGCAAATAGTAATGGTGCCCCAGGTTGCCCCAATTTCTTTTGTGTGTGGAAGTGTTTGTTAATATATGAATAATGGTCTTTATTAAGGATTTTGACGGGAAATGTTGAGAAACTTGGCTACACTTGATTTTATGTCAAAAATGTGTATTAGAGCTCATTTTTTTAAACTTTTGTCTTTAGTTTTTCTAAAATAACTCATTCTATATAAATATATATATATATATATGTATATTTATATATATATATTTATATAGCTCTGCAAAGACCATTTTTTAAAATGGCTTCAAAAAATATTCAACGAATTACCCTCCCGGTCTAATACACTCCAAAAAACTCAATATTGAAAACAAGGCGGAAGAAATTATGACCTTATTCAAAACACGCTTAAGGGGTATAATAATATATAATTTCAACAAAATCGGAGTATCCTAAACCAGAAGAAAGCCCAATTCAGAAAAAGACAAAATACTACAGGCCCTATAATAATGGAGCCTGAACAGCTGCACGCTTATAGGGATAAAAGATCCCTCGATTCTAAAAACCCGAGACACAGGGTATAATAGACCTAAAGGTCGCAGTACAAGGGCCAGAGCTCCCCTGAGCCTATAATAATAATTAAGAAACGATAGCCAAGTGGCTATAAAAATAACTTCTTAACTTTCTTGCTAACAACATCCATTTCAAATAGCCAAATTTAGCAATCTAACGGATTTGAGAAAAATGAATGGCAGATGAGGTATCTAAACAGAAAACTTTAACAGGATAAGAGTACAAGTGCGGAATCCCTTTTAGCTCTGCAAAAGGCCATTAAAAACATAAAAAAGTACGTAGAATAAAAAATATGTATTAATTTAAATATTTTTGTTCCCTACAAATTTTTCATGACTACAGTTGTTTCTGGGTTATCTTACGTGGTTCACCCTGTACTTAGCTTCTTTTAATTCTAACTAATGGTTAAATTTATTAAAAATGATATTTTTGTATAACAAAAAAGCATTTTCAATATGTTTTTCAACAAAAATATTTTTGGTCACCTAATCACTCTGTTTACGACATAGTGCGGCGATAGATTTGGTTTCACTATAGGTAGAGGGTTATGGAACACTTTGGTAATTCTAGGATATTATATCAATAGGAAAGTCATTTGCAAAAAAATGTTATCCAACGTTAGTGGACATCTTAACGAAAAAAGTACCATTTTAGTTTCGTATATGGACTTTGGTACCCTTTAGATTTATAAAGAAAAAACTTGTGTCGAAAACTTACCACTGAATCGACGGCGCAATCGTCTGCGAAGGTGGCCTGGCGATTTTCGTTCTGCTCGAAGTAAATCGTGTCCAGCATGGCCAAAACTTCTGTGTAAACCTCCATTCTCTTCCTGTAGTAGCCGTAGCCCTCGTGATCAGCGGCGTTGTCGTCGTTGTTGTAAAAATGCTCGGCGATGTTTTCTGGGTCGACCTTTTGCGCGTAGTAGTGGCACAGCTCGATGACGGCCTTGTAGGCTTTCAGCGCGGTAAATTGGCGGGAGATTTCCCGCAGCTTTATGTTGGCCCCGATGGATTTGCAGAGTTGCAGGGCCGAGATCAGCATTTCCTCCTTTTCGTCCGTGTTTTGCACGGTTCTGATCATTTTCAGGATTTCGTTGGCCTACATTGACAAGAAATAAAAACTAAATTGATGATGTTTAATTTTAAATCTATGGCGGCTGCTGTAAGATTAGAGATGTACAAAAACGGTTTTTTCTTATTATTTGGTACTTTCTACATAAGAAACCAATAGCAATGTAAAGCTTCTACTAATAGAAAAAAATAAAGGATACAAAAAAAACTCCAAATTTTATGCATTAAAAATGGTCGTATTGTAGCCGTAAAAAAAGCAATTTGAAGCTTGAAGTTTCTAGTTTTTAGATTTTTAGATGAAAAACGTACGCTCAATCCTAATGAATACCGTAATAAAAAAATCGGAATTTTTTTGGCTTTCTTTTTTGGTCCACGGAATGTTCTGACTTAACCACCAATGAATAAATGTTCTACAAAAATTTGCTCTGGTTTTTTTTTTGAAAAAAAAATTTCCATACTCTACATGAATTTGAAAAATCATGAAAAAAGTGCTATTGGTAGCTTTTTGAAAAAGCCAGCGCTGAATCAAAAATATTATAGGTAGTTACTTTTTTAGGACCAAATCAAAACAAGCGCGGCCCTTATTGGTCAATTCGGTGGTGGTGGCGCGTGCAAAGCGCGAGACTGTATTTACATTAACTAAATGTAATTTAGTAGCTAATTTTAGTCCATGAACTGGACTGGAAACATAATAAATTAGGCAAATGGGACTAATCTTGAAAAAAACCTAAAATATGAAAAAAACCATTTGAAAAAAAACAATGGAAAAAAATCCTGAAAAAAAACAAAATAAACGGACCGTTTTTTTCCAAGTCGCATCTCTATGTAATATGGATTTCATATTTCTTACACAATTCCCAAGTAGCATTATAGTGACGAAAACTGATATCGCAACTTCGTTTGTCAACTATAATATGCATCAGATGTTTAACAAAATAATAACTATATCTGAAGTCAAATAGTTTAATTGCGACGTAATTTATACCCTCAAAATATTCGTACATTGTGATGCCAATAAGCTTACATTAAGAATAAACACGGAAGAGTTTCAATACTCGATAAAATGTTCAAATGTCGTACCCGTTACATTTTGAGAAAATTTTAGAAAATAAAGTATACAATAATTGTGCATTTAAAATACGTGCTTGTTTAAGGTTACTATTCAAGTTTTACACAAAAAATTATTATTATATGCTTTCATCCAAAATTTTGCATTATCAACTTTAGAAGCCAACTTGGTCGCATTTGCCGATTTTATAAGGTCGCTCCCGTTACGCTATTCATGACGTTATAAAAGGTTTTCTATATACAAGTTTTTATTGACATTTTGTTTGAGTTAAATACCTAATTTTTTATACTATTTTTTATATTAACGTATCATGATATATATGAACAAACACCTTATTTTCATGAAAAAACGCAGTTTTAGTGTCGCACCCGTTACAATGGAAATACCCATAGGTGGAATACAGATTCGGCAGGGGAATCCCCGAACTTTAAAATTAAGTTTTGTTTGGTCCTACATTAAAGCAGTTTTAGTTTGACCAGCGCTTTATGCGGATGTTCTTTTAAGTTTAGGTTTTAACGACTTAACGAATGTAGGTACTGCTTTGAATTAAATTCTTAAGGTTTTTTTACACACAGGGTATGTACAATAAAATTAACAAACAATCCTTTAAGTGATTTTAAGACAAAGGTTCATATAAACAAGGGTCCGCAAATATTTTTAAGATAAGGGGTGTTAAACTTTTTTTAATTGGTTTTTCGAAAATATCTCAAATATCCTTTACCTTTATTTTGTTGTTATTTTGCAGTTATTTGTATTGTCAAGGGGCTAATTTAACTTGATTAAATTAGTTTCTTTTTTACAAAATACATAAATTTAGAATGTAAAGTTTAAGAAAAAAGAAAAAAAAAACTAAAAAAACACTGCAGGCGTTTTACCCACCCTGAATAAAATACAATAATTTTTAGTTATGGCTCGCCTTTTAACATTTAAAATATTTTTAACTATCATGCATTGAAAAAAATTTACTAACAATTTACTTCTATTATTAATAGTATTAAACAATATTATTTCCAATCAATTTTTGCAAAAATTTCTAACCATAATTTTTTAATAAGTTATTTTTTAAGTATAATTTATTTGGGCAGAATTTTGTTAATCTTAATTAAATATTTAATAAAATTATTTAGATTATATTGGTAAAGTTAAATTTAAAATAAAAACACATAAGTATTTTAACACAATAGTTTTTTTTTAAACTCAAAACAATTGATAATTAAAAAATATTTTAAATATAAAATGCAAATGTAAAAGTTTAAGATTAAAATATTGGTTTTTAAAAATTGTATTTTTAATATTTTATTCTAGAAAATTATTGGTTTAAATTTGTAATTTTTGGACTATCATTTAAGTAACTCTTTACCAATTTAAACCAATAAATTTTATTTTTGACAAATTTAAATTCATACATTTTTAACACATATACAAGGTGTCCCTAAACTTAGTGGCATAAATTTAGGAGCAGATTAAGCAAGTCAAAATAAGACGAAAATCTAAATAAATATTTTTCCCAATTAGGTATGTTTAAAAGATACAGGGTGATAAAGTGTTACTTATTATATCAGTTTTTTTAATATAACTTCCACTATGGTAGACTTGGAAAACACATATTTACACATAATTACAATTGTTCAAGTGAACGCAGTGTCGTAGAAACAGGGGTTGCTTAAGCGTATTGTCCGATACAAACTTTGAGGTTAGGTTTTTATACCATTTGATGCAATTTTTCGATTAGTCAGTTCGGCTACTATTATAAAGGTGTACCTCTCAAACTTCGATAAAATAAACCGTTTCCGAGATATTCGAGATTACAATAATTGTTATATCGCATTATTTAAAAGGATTAAAAGGTATATGATAACAAATTTTATTTTTTAATTGAAAAAACTAAAAAGGGCATTCCATGAGCCTCGGGACTTTTTGCCCTGACCGTCACATTAAAAAAATTAAAGTTTTTTCAATTAAAAAATTTGTTATCATATACCTTTTAGTCCTTTAATGCGATATAACAATTATTGTAATCTCGAATATCTCGGAAACGGTTTATTTTATCGAATTTTGCGAGGTACACCTTTCAATAGTAGCCGAACTGAGTAATCGAAAAATTGCATCAAATGGTATTAAAACCTAACCTCAAAGTTTGTATGGGACAATAGGCTTAAGCAACCCCTGTTTCTACGACTCTGTGTTCACTCGAACAATTGAAATTATGTTTGAATATGTGTTTTGGTAGTAAGTGACTGTTCGCAAAATATTACCTTTCCAAGTCTACCATAGTAGAAGTTTTAAAAAAAACTGATATGGTAAGTAACACTTTATCACCCTGTATCTTTTAAACATACGAAATTAGGAAAAATATTTATTTAGATTTTCGTCTTATATTGACTTGCTTAATCTGCTCCTAAATTTATGCCACTAAGTTTAGGGACACCTTGTATATTAATAGATTAAAAACTAAAATAAACAAAATATTATTTTTGATGACATTTTATAATAATAATTCATGCAACTTTAACACGTTAAACGCCACGGCGTTATTGGTGATTTTTTGTATTGGGCCAAGTTGTTATTTTTGTATTTACTTGTATCCTTTTAAAAAATAAAATCGTCAAAATACAGATTAAAAATAAATAATTAAAAAACTCTTGCATCTTCGTCAGCCATCAGGGCCAAGCGGTCCTGTGCATGCTTTAAAATACCTTATACGAGCGGTCCGCTGGCCAGAAAATCATGTTAAACAAAAAATTGACAGTTGGTCCACAGGGACCGCCGCACACTGGTCCGAATCGTGCTTGACCTTGGCCAAAACCCCAAAAATAAAGTTATTAATTATGACATTATTTTAATTCATACAGGTAGAGAAATGTTTGAAGTATTTAAAAACCAAAGAGTTTAGGTATAAATTCGCCCCACCTGATCCATAGGGCAGTTTTATTTAACCCTTTTTGTAATTGCTTGGAAACAGTTATTGTGTTGATTTTGATTGTGCAACAAAAGTGCTATTATTTCGTTAACGACTTGTTCGATTTTAACAGTTCAAAATGGAAAATGTTTCTGAAGGTATGTACAATAATTTTATAAAATTACATTTTTGAAAAAAAAATTATTTGTTGTTAAAATTTATACTAACATAATGGCCTGATTTTAATTTTTTTTCGATTTTTTCGTTTTTTTTAATTGGAATAAGTTAAAATGTGGGCATTTGCGGAAGACGTTTTTTACGGGGAAACGTTCATTGAAGTGTCTATTATAAGTTTCTTAAAAAATTGTCTGCAGCCACTTGCGCGAAAATTAATAAAACAATAATATACACGTTCGTGCCCGGATTTGAGACAGTAGTCGCGGTTAAACGCAGTGATGCTCAGTAAATATATTTTTAAGATTTTATAATAGGATAACAAATATACAGAAGAAATTATTTATGCAAAGATATTCGTCAGTACCGCGAAAATTTTTCAAGAAAATCTTCTCGAGAAAAGTCAATGTCGGACGTTTTTTGTCGGCTCCTTGTAACCTCGGACCCGCTTATTATAAGCTTACAAAAATTAAAGGTGAAAGGTAATGAATCATTGCATCCTGCTGTCATTGAGCTCCTTGAACCTATTAAAGAAAGTGCAGCTGAAGAAATAGACATTGATGACTATGACTAATAATGTAATAGTATAATTTTAATTTAATAAACATTGAAATTTTGTACGCAAGTGTATTTTATTTTTTCATTTCCCATTTGACAATTATTACAATAATACTAAATTAGTAACCTTACAACCGAATTAGGCCGAACCTAATACTCACAATAAATTAATAATTAAAAAAAAATCCGCCATTTTTGGTACATTGGTTTGTATTAAATAATTTTGATATCAAATTCATGATTAGCGACTGCAAAAATTAAAAATTTCAGGACGATTAACAATTTTTTTTAAATCCGCCATTTTTGGTCCACCATTTTAAATTTACTAATTTTGATTTTAAATTCATGATTAACGATCCCACAAACCTAAAAATTAACATTTTCAGGACGATTAATTAATTATTTTAAAAAAATCCGCCATTTTGGCCCGCCATTTTAAATTTAATAATTTTGATAATAAATTCGTGATAAGCGACCCCAAAAACCTAAAAATTAACATTTTCAGGACAATTAACTAATTATTTTTCAAAAAAGTCCGCCATTTTGAATTTAATAATTTTGATATCAATTTCGTAATCAGGGACCCAAATAACCCTAAAATACAAATTTTCACATTATTACATTCACTTTTCGAGTTTTGGCCAGAGAATAAGTCGATTCGGACCAGTGTGCGCCGTGGCCTGGATGGAAAAAGTATTAGCGGTCCCCTGGGACCGACTTGGCAGTTAACGTGTTAAACTTAAAATCCCCATCATCAAAAATAATAAAATACGATTTTTTCTTTATGATCTAATTTTTGTAAGAAATTTAAATTCGTTGGTGGTTTTGTAAAACTTTTGTGCTCACCTTCGAAAACGCGGCATCTTCAGACTTGTACAACTGAGGGCAGACCTCCCGCAACTTGTTGCTGATCGAATCGACCGAGGCGTTGTCGCCGAGATAGCTGTTCACCAGCGTGGTGATCAAAAACGAGCAGATATCGTGCCGGTAGAGAAACAACTCCTTGAACGTGGTGTTCTGCAGCACCTGCTGCTGGTTCTCGGGCAACGAGCCGATCAGCTCGTGGAAGCGGTGCTCGCACAGGATCCTCCAGAAGCCCAGCAGCTGGCAGCACTGGTTCGCGAAGATCTTCAGGGCGTCCAGCGATCGCCTTTCCTCGAGTTGCGCGTCCCTGACCGTCACGGTCGACCGCGTCGCGTTCGTCGTTTGGTTCGCGAACGAGCCGTTGGCGTTCGCGTTCGACGAGGTATTGCAAACGGAGGAGAGCTGCGTGTTTTGCGTTATGAAGTTGTGCAGGGCGGTCAGGTTGTTCAGTATCCAGATGCAATCGTTGATTGAGATGGTGCTCACATTCTAACAAAATACAATTTAACGTAACTAGTGTGCTTGTAAAAATTGCACAACATTTTTTGTCAGCACTGTATTGCAACAATAGTCGATAACGTTCAATTTTTATAACTTGTCCGTTACATCATCAATGTACGGCCAAAAATACAATTTAGGTCTTTTTACAATTGATGTTTTTCTAGAGAAAAAAATTAAATTTCAAGTTTAGTTCATAAGATTTAAAAAATTTCACATTTAACAATATTTAAGTTTAAATGGCTGTAATTTTAAAACAAATAGAGATTTTTTATTTTTTTTTAATTAAAGCTTAGACGCTTATCTATTTAATAGTTATTTGTATACCAAGGCCGCGAAAACGCTCTTTAGAGTACCGAGGGAAAAATTGCCGCCGAGGCCGCTTGCGGCCGAGGCAAGACAATCTCGAGGACTCTAAAGGGTTTCGAGGCTGTGGTATACACAATATTTTTTGGGCAAGTACCTACAAGTTTTATTTCTACATTGGAAACTTTAATAATTATTATAATATATTATGTGACAGATAATAAATTAAAAATAATTTAAAAATCTAGAATGGTTTCCATGGAAATGGCAAACAATTAAATGAGACATAATATTTGACAGTAAAAGTTGTGTCAAAGAAAAGTAATGTTTAATTCTCAAAGTGATAGTGATACTTCGATAACCGGAACTCCTCCGGAACTAAAAATTGCTGCGAATTCTGCAGTGTCGCAGTTAGTACCTGAAAAATCAAAGAGGCAGTATGAAAAATGTTACAAAGACTTTAAAGACTGGTGCAACAGGAAGGACGCCAAAAGTTTATCTGAAAATGTATTATTAGCTTACCTTATAGAAAAATCAAAGACCTTAAAAAGTTCAAGCTTATGGAGTGTGTATTCGATGCTCAAGTGCATGCTTAATATAAAAGAAGGCATAGACGTGAGAAAATATTTGAAGTTGGTCCCTTTTTTGAAGAAACAGTCAGTGGGTTATAGAGCCAAGAAGTCAAAGGTGTTGACACATAACCAAATTACGATATTTTTGGAAAAAGCTAGTGACGAAAATTATTTGCTGTGGAAGGTAAATATAAATAAAAATTCCTTGTGAATGGTGTAATTTATTGTTGTTTGATTAGGTAGTTTTAATTATGGGAATATCGGGGGCCATGAGACGTGATGAGTTAACAAAAATAACCATTGAAGATATTCAGGACAACAACAATGTTCTAATAGTAACTGTTCCCGATACTAAAACGGACATAAACCGCACGTTCACTATTACGAATCCAAAGTATATAACACTTTATAGAAAATATGCTGCCCTACGCCCGAAACATGTTACCAGTCGTCGATTATTTTTGAGATACGAGAAAGGAAGATGCCATGCACAAGTTATTGGGGTACATACGATTGGAAAAATTCCTTGTTTGATAGCGAATTACTTGAAATTGGCGAATAGTGAGCAGTACACAGGCCATTGTTTTAGGAGGAGCTCTGCTACCCTCCTTGCCAACAGCGGCGCTAGCACATCAGTTCTTAAGCGCCACGGTGGTTGGAGATCTACCACCGTTGCTGAATCTTATGTCGAAGATTCTATAGAAAATAAAAATAAAATTGCCAATTCAATTTCCGGTATTGTATCCGAGCCTAACTTAAATCAGGGGTCAAGTACACCTGTCACGGTTTCAAATGATAACGGTTCAAAAATTGTAGATTTTACTTCAGGGATAAATATAACTAACAATACGGACTGTAATATTAATATTAACATTTACCCAAAAAATATGTAGTACTTCAGATACCTAATAAATAATTTCTAAAAACTGCCCATTCACATGTGTCAAAATAAATATACCTATAACTGACATTTACTTTAACGGCCGTCGCTATGACAACGGCCGCGAAATATCATTTCGCGGCCGCTACAGAGTCCGCGAAATGTTACTTCGCGTACGGTTGCCCAAAAAATTTTATAGTTAAAAATGGAAAATAAAAAAACAAATTATATATTAAAAATTATGTCATGTCTGAAAAATTATCAATTTTTAACTTAAAAGCTCATTCACATCCACTTAATACGCGTAACTTAACTTAACGTACGTGATAGACGTAAGTTGAAATACATTAAAACCAATGCAGCTGTTTACATTCGTAGAAAACTTATCACACGTAACTTAACGTATCCAAAAGTTGGGTCCGACTCAACTTAAGGGAATACGTTTCTTACGTGAGCCAATCACATGCCCAGTAAAACGATATAGCGCTATCTTGTTGTTTCACTTTTATAGATAGATAGGCAACCCAGTCTACATCCATGTCTACATTGCGCGTGCTTGTATATTGCGTTCTTTGCGTGTATTAAGTTAATGTAAACAGACAACTTAACAGACGTAGGTTTCTTAAGTTAAGTTAAGTTACGCATATTAAGTGGATGTGAATGAGCTTTAAGTAGGAAAAAGTCTGGATCCGACCGCGGAAATTAATAATGTTTTCATGTAGTGGTGCACAAACTCAGTAAATGTGCTTTATTTAAAATTATTCAAGTTCAAATGGCTGTAATTTTAAAACTAATAGAGATTTTTTAATATATATTAGAATATAAACAAAACAAATTATTTATTAAAAAATATGTAAAGTGATAAAAAATAATTAATTTTTAACTTTAAGTAGAGAAAAGTAGGGTTGGAATTTTGACCGGTCAATTGACTAAGCACCGGTCAAATTCCTTAGTTTTTTCTAAAGAAATGAAGGCATGAGTAAAATTACCTAATTTTAAATAAAAACGTATTGAAAAACAACTAACAAAAAATAAAGAAACCATTCTGAGGTACCAAAAAAACTTCATAATATCATTGTTTTTAAGAACATTCACGTCTAGCTTGCAGCAGAGCAGCAACAGCAGCCCAGCAGATAAGACCTGAAGATGGTACATGAGAACATTTTTTTAATACCTTTGATATTTTCCGCTTGACATTGTCAAAATGTCTCCTGTCAAAATAGGTAAAAATCTCGGTCAATTGACCAGGCACAACCCTAGAGAAAAGTCTGTTTCTTTGAGAATCTAGCTGCTCTTATTATATACGTTTTTTAGGACAAAATCTTGCGAACAAGACCATATAAAATTTGGATAGTTACAACATAAAATATCAACAAACAAGTTATTTATTAACAATAGTATAAAGTGTTAAATTAAAAAAAAAATTAAGTAGGATTAAGTTTTTTCTATGGAAATCAAGCCGACCTAATTATATTTATTTTGTAGGCCGAAATATTGTTAAATGTCCAAAACTATAGCATAAAAAACTGCCTTAAAGATGACCTAAATGTTCTAAAATATTCGAAACCGTTAACTGAAAAATTAAAATAATTGGACCGCCAAAAAGTTATGTTAATTTGTGATTTTAATCAACTAGGTATTGACAATATTTCTGAAGAAAATCACAGGAATGGGCTAATTTATGATTCATGTTGTGCCAAAACCATCTTAGGCTTCAGTCCAACAAAAATAAGTGACATTTCTACTTACTGTGAAGGTTTTTCCATCGATGCAAACCTTATTGACGCATCTTCTATTCCAAACGGGTCGTAATATTCTTCCCAGGTACAAATACAAACCGTTGTGTTTGGAGGAAAACACGAAGGGGCACACCACTTCAAAATTTGGGGATTGTTGAGTTTGAGACAGATTGGGGCTTTGCATGTTGTACATGTTTTGTTGGTAATTGTGGGCTGGGGTGGATATTATGTTTGGTGAAAACATTGTTGAACCAGATACTACAAAATAATAATAATGTTACACAATAAAGAATCTGTTGGTTCTCCACTAGGGTGTCCGTTATTTGCCAACTTATTTTTTTTTTGTTCGCAGCGCCCCCTAAATTTTAGTTTATGAACTAAAAAAATTATAAAAAAAAATATTCATATTAAACCGTGCCACAAAGACGATACATTTTCCATTTAAATAACATGGAGTTTCTGCAAGTTTTACATTTAATTTTTTTTCTCCCGAGCAAACGCTGTACAAAAAAGCTTTCTTATGATTTTTTCATAAATTTACTGACTTAAAAGTTATTTAAGGTTAAAGATAACTTATAGTAATTTTTTCGATTTTTTTACTTTGACTGCAAAATTATAATTATTTTTATGAAAATAAATTGTTTATTTTTGAAAACAGATAAGTAAAAATTATTGACAAGATAAATTCAATTTTTTTTATTACATTAAACAAATCTGGTACTAGTTTTACTCAATTTTAGTACGATTACTTTTTACATAATCTTTTTATTTCTGTGAAATTCTACAAAATTTTATACGATTTTATAAAATATTATACAATAAAAAGTTTTCCTTTAGTACAGCTAATGACGTAGAAATTCTTTTAACAATTATAATTATAATAATAAATATTAATTATAATAATAATTATTTTTACGACAAAATAAAATTCGTAGTTACGCATAAGTTGTCTTGAGTATAAGATGCAGACATTTTCGCTACACCAATTATCCTTTTCAAATAAGTAAAATGTATTTTTCTACTTCCACCTTTAAAACGTTCATTATCGTACATGTTTCCATGACACAAAGTGACCTTTTAAATACACATTGAAAAGTTGTGGCTTTATGGCGTTTTAGTCACAGGCTGAAGTTAGCAACAGGTTTTTAGTCACGGGCTGAAGTTAGCTTTAAGTTAGTTGACAGTTGTCAAATGTCATACAATCGTTAAAATAAAGTGCCCTTCTTGTAAAATAATACTAAATGTGAAAATTATTTTATTATCGCAATACAAAAATACAAAAGCATTAAATAGTTTCTCAACGCCAATATTTGAAAAGTTTATATGAACATTGTACTGACCTTTTAATTTCGCCGAAATTAAACTGGATAACTTAAATTCGAGCTCGGACTCCACCGTGAAGAGCTCATAAAACATTTTCTTTACTTTCACTGAGAAAAACTCTTGTTAATCGATTTTCAACTAAAATATTTCGATTTATAACCTTTATAACACAGAAAAATTTGACATTTGACGGTACCTAACACAGATTCCCATATTGTTTCATAGATGGCGCTCTATACAAATTTTTGATTTAAATCATTTTAAGATAATAATAAGTATTTGTCGTAGAAAAAGTATAGTATGCACCTCGTTTATAAACTTTTCTATACACTCATTAATTAAAGAACTCGCTCGCAAGCTCGCTCGTGCCTAAATTAAATTCGTGTATAAAATGGCGTTTATCAAACTTGATACATAATATACTATTATCTACTTCTTCATTGACGAGCTGTGACTTTATGGCGCTTTAGTCACGGGCTGAAATTAGCTTTATTATATATTAGAAAAAAGTAAGGTTAATTCCGTTGACATTTGACAGATGTCAAATGTTTAACAAATATAATTGGCTTTAATTTCTTTTTTGTGTTTGTTGTAGATAAAGTATACTTAGTATGCAACTCGTTTTATAAACTTATCTAGAAATTCGTTTTTAATAAGCTTCGCTCGTGCCTAGTAAAACTCGTAACTAAAATGGCGTTTATAAAACATGATACATAATACCTATACTATTATATAAAAGATGCCACAGACGATGGGTGATTCACCTACTTCAAACTTCAACTTTGCGACACGAAATGTGTGAAGTGCGACTTCTGCCTTCTGTGGTCAAAGTACTAAATTATACTTTAGTGCGCATACGTAACTACAAATTTTATTTTTTTGTAAAAATATTGTTAAAAGAATTTCTACGTCATTAGCTACAGCTGAAATTTTTCATTGTATAATACACTCACAGGCAAAATAATCGATCCACAAAAATTTTTATTTGATGTCGGATTTAAACGAATATTAAAGAATATTGTAGATATTGTAAATTAATGGACAATCGCTCACATTTTAAAAAATTACTAAAAAATAGAAGTACGTTTATAATATACAGGTTTAAACAAAAAGATGTTTTTTACCATAAGTTTAAGACACTCTGTAGAGTGGTAAAACCGTATATTGTTCTAAATTAAGTTGTATTTATCAAGTCTCATCTATTCTTAACAGTTTTGTTTTTGGTTCACCTCGATATATTTATTTTTGTGAAAAATATGGATTTTTTAAATAACATTGCAATTTCCAATGTTTTTCTGTATGAAGAACTAAGGTTGCTATGGTCCATCCATAGGCTATGGAAAATGACAGTGACAGTTTTGTTGAATCATCCCATACTTGGACATGTCATACACGGCTTTCAAAAGCTATCAAATTGTTTTTTGCAAATTAATGTTTAAATTTTGAGGTGTCTTCTTACTTTAAAAAATGGATATGTCTCCGACTGATGTTGCCAGAGCCATTAATTTAATCCCGGATGGACGGTCACAGTATTACGTGGCAAGTGTTTTAAACGCCACAAGAAGTAAAGTACAAAGGGCAACATCAATCGGAGACATTTTTAAAAGTAAGAAGACACCTCAAAATTAATACATTAATTTACAAAAAACAATTTGATAGCTTTTGAAAGCTGTATATGACATGTCCAAGTATGGGATGATTCAACAAAACTGTCACTGTCATCCTCCATAGGCTATGGATGGACCATAGCAACCTTAGTTCTTCATACAGGAAAAATATTGGAAATTGCAATGTTTTTTTTTTAAATCCATATTTTTCTCAAAAATAAATATATCAAGGTGAACCAAAAACAAAACTGTTAAAAATAGATGTGACTTAATAATTAAAACTTAATTTAGAACAATATACGGTTTTGCCTCTCTACAGAGTGTCTTAAACTTATGGTAAAAAACATCTTTTTGTTTAAACCTGTATATTATAAACGTACTATTGCGGCCGATAAAAAGTAATCGACTAATTTTCCCGTTGTAAATATGGTTGTCACCAGTGGCATTTCAAAAATAATTTTATAAAATTAAGTAACGTCATCTTAAATTAAGTAAAGTCATAATTATGCCTTACCATACTTTAAGTGAAGCAGAGAAAGGCTATATTATCGCCAAAATTGGAGAAGGATGCTCTCAACAACAAATAGCAGATGAAATAAACTGCAGCAAAAGCGCTATTCAAAAATTAAACAAAAAGTGGGTGGAAACTGGTGACCTGAGTAGGGTAATGGGTTCTGGGCGTCCAAGAAAGACAACTCCAGTAAACGACAACGAGTTGGTTAAATATGTGAGGCAAAACCCATTTTCTAACTCCATTCAAGCCAAAGAGGTAACCAGCATCTGTTAGGACGGCAAGAAAACGGTTGCGAGAACAAGGTTTATTTAACTGCGCGAGTGCTAAAAAGCCTCGCTTGACGGATGTTAATAAAGAGGCAAGAGTGGAGTTTGCAAATAATTGTTTAAATCAAAACGCTGAATATTGGGAGCGAGTAGTCTTTTCAGATGAAAAAATATTTCAATCCTGCTACAATGGGCAACTGCGAGTTTATCGTCCCAGAAACCATAAGTTTGATGAAGAATACCTCCACAAAACTGACAACAGCGGAAGATTTTCTGTCCACGTGTGGGCGTGGATATCATCTTCAGGGGCTGGTATAATTCATATTGTAGAAGGCCGATTAACTGGGAACTGATACGTGGAAATTTTAAACGATGTAATGCTCCCGTCAGTGCAAGAAAGATTTGATAATGATTTTGTGTTTCAACACGTAACACTTTATGATTTATCTTTCCTGATCAAAACAATATTTTTTTTTTCATTCTAAGGATAACTCGCCAGTTCACACTGCTCATGTGGTTCATAATTGGCTGGAAGAAAATCACATTACAACGCTTCCTTGGCCGTCAAGAAGCCCCGATTTAAACCCAATCGAAAATATTTGGGGATATCTCGTAAAAAATATATATAAATATGAATTTAGACCAAGAAATAGAGAAGACCTTATTAATTCAATTCAAAATGAGTGGAACAATTTGGAAGAAAATTACGATATGCAAAATTTAATTAGTTCCATGCCTAGGAGATTACAAAATGTTATAGAGAAGAATGGTAGTTCTACCAAGTATTAATTATTTTTTTTTAAATAGAGTTTTTATAGCATTACAAATGTGTAAGATTATGTAAGATAATGCCCGAGGGAGGGCTGAGGCCTGGTTGGCTCATCTTTTATAATTGTTATAGTCGTAGTATACTATTTTTTTTTTTTTAAGTTTAAATTTATTTATTTTGGTCGCCCAATAAATAATTTGTTTTTTTTGTTTGTATTACGAATAAATATGCTTTATATAATTTAAGTTTTTTTTAATAAAAAATTAAATATGTCATACACCTATGATTTCTTGTCAAAATAATTTAATTGACATGACTGACGTAAAAAACCCTACTTACAATAGCCAATTTTTAAGAAAAACATGCAACTTGATAAAGAATCGATTACTTTTTATCGGCCGCAATAGTACGTGTATTTTTTAGTAATTTGTAAAATGTGAGCGATTCTCCATTAATGTATCTACAATATTCTTTAATATTTGTTTAAATCCGAAAACAAATAAAAAAGTTATTTGCGATTGAAATTCATCGAAAATTTGTTTGGATCGATTATTTTGCCTGTGAGTGTATTTTATAAAATCGTATAAAATTTCACAGAAATAAAAAGATTATGTAAAAAAAGTAATCATACTAAATTTGAGTAAAACTAGTACCAGATTCTTTTAATGTAATAAAAAATTTTTAATTTATCGGAATCTCTTGTCAATAATTTTCACTTCTATTTTCAATAATTTTTACTTTTACAATAACACAATAACATCACATATTTTCAAAAATTAACAATTTATTTTCATAAAAATAATGATAATTTTGCAGTCAAAGTAAAAAAATCGAAAAAATTACTATAAGTTTTTCTTTAACCTTAAATAACTTTTAAATCAGTGAATTTATCGAAAAATCATAAGGAAGCATTTTTGTACAGCGTTCAATGTCTATAAAAATATGTATCACTTTTTGCTGTATATTAACTTGCTCGGGAGAAAAAAAATAAAACTTGCCAAAACCCCATGTTATTTAAATGGAAAATGTATCGTCTTTGAGGCACGTTTTACTATGATTATTTCCCTCATTATAATATGAACCAATCAAAAGCCTTGAATTTTCGAATAAATTTCGTTTAAATAAGCGATTAAATCACTAGAACTATTTAACAGCGATTAAATTTTAGCCTCCATATTGGATTTTTGTTTACGATTTTATGGTGTTATTTACAAGTTTTAAGAAACATTTCTTAAAAAACAATAAAAAATAAGTTATCTAGTTTACGAAATATCAATTATTACTTATTACATACCTTAAATTAATGGAATTTTCTTTAAAAAAATATTTATATATTTTGACACATACGTCAGATTTTATGAATTGTCAAATAGTTTCCTTTAATTCGAGAAATAATCTAGATGTATATCACTCAACCTATATATAAATTTAATCTGTTAAACTACAGGGTGTTTCTTTTAACTTGAGACAGCTCAATATCTCGAGAAATACGCATTTCACGGAAAAATGTCTTAAATAAAAGGTTAATGTGACCAAAGGGGACATTATTTGGTGCTACCGCTAGCCACCCCCTACCCCTCCTTAAGGGTGAAACGGGGGGTAACTTTGGAAAGTCAAATGGAATGACCCGATTTTTTTCACAGAGTTTGGTAGTACATAAAAAAATGAATAACTTTTATTTGAAAGTTTTTTTCACTTTATCAACAGATGGCGCTGTAATTCAAAATTTAAGAAAAAGGGGTTTCCTTGTAAAATGTATTATTTGAAACGTTTGAAAAACAAAAATTAACATTAAATCAACAATAGTCGGCTCTGAAAACAATTTATAACAAATGTTCGAAATGTCGTCCTTCCATTTCGACACCAAGTGGAGCACTAGCGTCCCTGGGCGGTAAATGTTTGGTGCGGTACCTTAAGCGAACGATTAATCAGACCCTTCTTTATTGACGGTGCATTAAATGGCGAAAAGTACTGGAATTTTCTAGAAAACGATCTGACGGACCTTTTGGAGGATGTACCACCAGCACGGCTCCAAAACATGTGGTACCAGCAAGATGGTTGTCCTGCACATTATTCGACAATTGCTCGAGAGGTGTTGGATCGGGAGTTCAATGGCCGGTGCACCGCGGTGGATCGGTAGACGTGGTCCAGTAATTTGGCCTGCTCGATCACCTGATCTTACGCCACCAGACTTCTTCCAGTGGGGTTACTTGAAAGAAAAAGTTTACGCTGCAATTCCTACAACTTGGGAGGACATGGTGGAGCGGATCAGGAACGCCTGTGCGGCGATACCGCCCGACATGTTGGCGCGTTGTGTGCCAGAATTCATTACCCGCATTCAAAAATGTGTTCAAATGGAATGACGACATTTCGAACATTTGTTATAAATTGTTTTCATAGCCGACTATTGTTGTTAATGTTAATTTTTGTTTTTCAAACGTTTCAAATAATACATTTTACAAGGAAACTCATTTTTCTTAAATTTTGAATTACAGCGCCATCTGTTGATAAATTGAAAAAAGTTTTAAATAAAAGTTTATTATTTTTTTATGTACTACCAAACTCTGTGAAAAAAATCGGGTCATTCCTTTTGACTTTCCAAAGTTACCCCCCGTTTCACCCTTAAGGAGGGGTAAGGGGTGGCTAGCGGTAGCACCAAATAATATCCCTTTAGTCACATTAACCTTTTATTTAAGACATTTTTCCGTGAAATGCGTATTTCTCGAGATATTGAGCTGTCTCAAGTTAAAAGAAACACCCTGTATGCTCAGTAAGTTTTTTATTTGATTTTTTGTTTTTGGAAAATAGTTCCATGCAAAATAATTAAAAATAAAACCCCTCGACCGCTACGCGGTCTCGTGATTTTATTGAATTATTTTGCATTCAACATTTTCCAAGAAAAACCAAACAAAAAACTACTGAGCCTAGTTTAACCGATTAAATTCATAGTTCTCGTGATATAATATATGAATATTTTTTTTATAATTTTTTTTCGGTCATAAACTAAAAATTTAGGGGGCGCTGCGAACAAAAAAACCAAGTTGGTAAGTAACGGACAGCCTAGCACTCCACTTACGTGCACTGGTTTGGTTCAGAAGCGCCACCTTCGGTTCGCCGCCGAAAGTGAAAAAGCACCTGGTGGCGCAATCGGCGATCTCCGTGTTCTCGTCGTTCTCCAATGAGGCGAGGATGAGGCTGGCGGCGCACGCTTGATCCTCCTTCAGGATCATGAAGAAGGCTTTCAGGGTTTCGCTGTCGTGGCCGCGGCTGTCCCGCAGAATCTGCCGCAGCAAGTCGACCGGGCGGAGCTTGACGAGGATCTGAACGCCGTGCGACGTTAAAACGACGTATTTTTTTTGCGCCTCGAAGTGCTGGCGCACGGCGAGAGGGGGCGCTTCGAAGTTCGGGTCTTGCAGCGGGCTGTCGTGACGCACCTGCCACGACAAGATGCGTTTTTAAACTGGTTGCAGGTTTTCAAGAAATGGATATCCGCACTTATTATCTAATCTTACAAGAAATTTTGTGATACCTGTTGAAGTCCGCTGACCGGGAAGCCATACCAAGCAACAATTTAAGTATTTGTTACGTATATGGGACTATTGAAGTGTTTTGCGAAAGTCGCCGGTTTTTTTATATTACTCTTTCATTACTAAGTTACGACTAAAGTGGGGAACAATTATTGAGTTCCAAAAAGGTAGCAAATATGTCACTAGCTGTAAACCCTGCTGGCAGTACTACAGGGGGGCCTAGGGGGGCCGGGCACCCCCCAGACATCGCTGGCCCCTCCCAGGAAAAGGCTGACTTTTATCTGTTATAATTTTTTAGTATTACCAAATTTGCAATAGAAATATGTATCTATCATTTACATATCTTAGGTTGTATAGAAATTTCATCAGGATCATCAAATTCGAATCATTCAGAACACTGGAAAATAAATATTTACTACCAAATTATGGATAACTCAATATCCAATTTTTCATGCAGATTTTCAAATTTACCATTGGCGCAAGCAGCAGATGCATTATTTCAGTTATATTTTAATAAAAGCCGAGATTTTTTGCATTTTCTGAGAACATTTACCATAGTAATGTATATATTTTTTTACACCATCAGAAAGTAGAGATTTCAACGAACAAAAAGCACACCGACTTTTTGAAAAAAGCTGATATTTTGACGCGAGAATTTTCGATTGAAAATTAGGGTGCTTTTTTGATATTAAGTCAAAATAAGGCGAAATAATAAATATTTCAAATCAAATAAATTACAGTGTATTTGGGACATAAAAAGGTAAGTTTTCACCAAATTTCGTGGAAAAAAATTTTTTTTTTTAAAAGATAAAAATAAAAAACCAAAAACTTGGTTTTTTGAATTTTTCACATAAATTTTGAGGTTATGTAAAAAAATTGTAATTACAAAAGTTGTAGATCCTTTTATTACCTACAACTTTGCCATTTAACTTTTTTCCATAGGACTTGTAGTTTTGCCGGAAATCGAGATAAACCATTTTTTACCCTTAACCCCCCCCCTCCCACTTCCCGAAGTCAGATCGCCCGTAATTTATTTTTCCTTTCATTTTTATTATATTCTTCTTCTTTTCCAATGGGTTTCATCCTACTGTTATTTTTTTTTGGTTTCAAAAATTATCGACCCTGGTCTAATTGTATGTTTTTACATAATACAAAAATTATACTAAAAAAATTAATTTTTAAGTTAAACTGTTTTTAATTTTAATAATTTTATGTGTTATGTTATATTATTTATAGGTAGTTTGACGATTATGCATTGCTTTAAAATTTATAGTGGCATCACAACCTAAAAAACACCACTTGGCAGGGTTTTTCACATTTGTGGTCCATTGGAAGTTTCTGGGCGTTTATAATCAATTTATGTCTATTTTTCTAAAATATTTTGAAGAAAATGCTACTTCCGGGTTAACCGGACATCAGCTTTGTTATTTTTAATAGAACAATCATATTTTTACATTTTTAAATTCCACATAAAATTACTATACCCTGTCTTATACTTAAAGTGAAATATTCACACTTTCGAGTTATTAATTTTTTTCGTTAAAACTTGACAAATGCACTTTAATCAAAAATAGCCTATAACTTTTTTGTTATTAGGTTTGCGCATATGGGGATGGAATTTTCGGAATCTTAAATCATTGTTTAAAAGATTCCATGTCAATGGACATTTTTCAACAAATTACCGGAGAAAATCCAGAGCAAATTGGGCTAACTTGAAACGTTAATATCTTTTTTATTTTAAACACCCGGTACCTAATCAAATAGCAAATTAAAAAACCTTTTGAATAATGTAACTATTAATAATTTCAGAGATATTCAACAATTTCTAAAATTTTAAGCATTTCTTAATTCTTACTTCTACATTAGACATTGCTTTTCTTGACCAATCTGACTCTGATATTAGAAATTGATAAATATTTATAAAATTATTAAATTTAGGTATGGGAAATAGTTGCATGAATCAATAATGTAATTTGTCCTGGGTTTTCTTGGGTAATTTGTTGAAAAATGTTAAAGAATTGACATGAAATATTTTAATCAATGTTTTAAGTATCCAAAACTTCCACCCACATTGCCGGAAAGTTATAGCATACTCAATGGTTATAGGCTATTTTTGATTGGCGCGCATTTGTCAAATTTTAACGAAAAAAATTAATAACTCGAAAACTATTCACTTTAGATAGGACATGGTGTGGAATTTAAAAATGTGGAAATATATGGAGTGGAGTGAAATAACTAAGTGGAAAACAGGCTTATAAACGCTTTAAAAATTTCAAATCGATATATTTTGCCGTTCCCCTGAAAATTTAAATGTACCACGGACGTGAAACACCCTGAATTTCGTAAATAATTTTAAAATGTAGCTTTAATGGTAGTCCATTTATTTAGTAAATATATATTTTTTAAACTATACAGACTAGGTGTTGTCAAAGCTGTTATACACTCACAGGCAAAATAATCGATCCACACAAATTTTTGATGAATTTCAATCGCAAATAACTTTCGTATTTTATTTCGGATTTAAAGAAATATTAAAGAATATTGTAGATAAATTAATAAAGAATCGCTTACATTTTAAAAATTACTAAAAATAGACGTACGTTTATAATATACAGGTTTAAACAAAAAGATGTTTTTTATCATAAGTTTAAGACAATCTGCAGGGTGGCTAAGCCGTATATTGTTCTAAATTAAGTTTTAATTATCAAGTCACATCTATTCTTAACAGTTTTGTTTTTGGTTCCCCTCAATATATTTATTTTTGTGGAAAATATGGTTTTTTTTTATAAAACATTGCAATTTCCAATATTTTTTCTGTACGAAGAACTAAGAGCCGTTTCACATGCGACTGATAAAGTCCTGACGATCAGTCCTGATGATACGGACTGACGGTCATGACCATTGTTTCACAAGCAACGTATAGTACGGAAATGTCTACTACGAGACGGTTCTCAGCGCTTCCGGAACTGCGCTGTTGCCGCTTTTTGTATAAAGAGAATAATACAACGCAAAAAAGTTCTTCTTTGCTTTCGCAAAATTTTCAAAATCCGGAACTACTATTTACGCTACTTCTTCAAATGCTTTGTTCTTTGCATCCCTATTTTTGTAGTTCTCATCATCTGCATACCAGATGCATCTTCGCTGTTCGATGCTATTTATTACAATTTCAGTATCAATGCGTAAACTACTCATTGTGCAACACTGTTTCTGCTGACCGTACGTACCATATGAAATACTCCATATAATTAACAGCCCTTAATAGTCCTGACGGTACGCAGTGCGCACGGGCTGTCCCGATGCCCGTGCCGACGAATCAGTCAACCGATGATACGCAGTGCATGTGAAAAAGTTCATTTAAACAATGGCCCCTAGTCATCAGGACTGACCATCAGGACTGATCGTCAGGACTTTATCAGTCGCATGTGAAACGGCTCTAAGGTTGCTATGGTCCATCTATAGCCTATGGAGGATGACAGTGACAATTTTGTTGAATCATCCCATACATGGACACGTCATATACAGCTTTTAAAAGCTATCAAATTGTTTTTGGTAAATTAATGTGTTAATTTTGAGGTGTCTTCTTACTTTTAAAAATGTATATGTCTCCAATTGATGTACACTTTGTTACATCTTGTGACGTTTAAAACACTTGCCACATAATCATCCTGAATTAAATCAATGGCTCTGGCAACATCAGTCGGAGACATATTTATTTTTAAAAGTAAGAAGACACCTCAAAAGTTAAACATTAATTTGCAAAAAACAATTTGATATCTTTTGAAAGCCGTATATGACCTGTCCAAGTATGGGATTAAGAAGATTATATTCAGGAGCTTCAACTCCGCATGAGAATGGATAGAAAACGCGTCGTATCGTGTACAATGCGCACAAATAATTATTAATCAACCGCGCATATACCGTCAACTCACGTGACAGACTGCACGTGCACTCATTGGTTGGAAGATTTACAACAGAAATAAAGAAGGTTGATTGACAAGCTTTATTTTAATTTTAAAATTTTTATTTGAGAAAATCACTATATATGGGATGTTTGTGCTGTGTTAAAAATTGTTTAATTTGTTAATGGATAAAAACCTACACATTAGTTATTTGAAATACCATCAGTAAGTTTATAACAGTGTAATAATTACACCACAAAACTTGAAATTGTCTGATTTTACATTGCAAAATTCAGTCATTTTATATGTTACACTACATTACCAAATTAACATCATTACATGCAGGTTTAAATGTAAACTGCAGTTTACGTTTTCTGCTACAACGATAGTAATACTGATTGGTTCATAAATTTACTCACTGTTTTAACAAACCGTTCTGTTTACTACTAATATTTTATTATAATATAAAATATTCATATTAATTACATTATAATCTTCTTATTTACGAAATTGGTAAAGGTAAACATTGGTTTGACGTTTGACAGATGCACAAAATAATAGAGGTTAAAAAGGTACCTTCTTTATCTCTGCAAAAGATGCGTAGAACTCAATTTTGCGTTCTCGGTCATTGTACACGTGCGACATGTTTGTGGACCCCCCACTCCTCGAATTTATATGGAGTTGAAGCTCCTGAATATAATCTTCTTATATGGGATGATTCAACAGAACTGTCACTGTCATCCTCCATAGCCTATGGATGGACCATAGCAACCTTAGTTCTTTGTACAGAAAAAATATTGGAAATTGCAATGTTTTATAAAAAAACCATATTTTCCACAAAAATAAATATATTGAGATGAACCAAAAACAAAACTGTTAAGAATAGATGTGACTTGATAATTAAAACTTAATTTAGAACAATATACGGTTTAGCCACTCTACAGAGTGTCCTAAACTTATGGTAAAAAACTTATTTTTGTTTAAACCTGTTTATTATAAACGTACATCTACTTTGTAGTAATTTTTTTAAATGTGAGCTATTCTCCATTAATTTATCTACAATATTCTTTAATATACGTTTAAATTTGATATCAAATAAAAAAGTTATTTGCGATTGAAATTCATCGAAAATTTGTGTGGATCGATTATTTTGCCTGTGAGTGTATTATGTGCCGAATACCGTGGATAAAATTTTATTGGATCGCACTTAAAAACAAAATGACGTGATCTGAAAAAACGCCGAGACATTTTTTAGGCCTATTTTCAAAATCCATAGGAATTTTTCATGGGAGAGAAAAAAATCAAATTTTGTCGATTTTTTTTTAAATACACATTCTAAAATGTTTTTAAAAATCCTACCTCAGCAATGGCCAAAACAGGCCCATCCAAGTTGACAGTCGTGTAAGCTTCCATAAGGGTGGAATTGAACGGGAACAAATCCGAACTGATGCACCACAACACGTCCTTATCCTTCACGGTGGACACCAGTACGCAGTTCCTGTCTCTGTAGTGGCTCATGTGCACGCACCTCGGGCGAACCGCGATGTTGGCCGAGTAGCCGGGCGGCAGCCGCACGTGCAAAAGCGCCAACGTGTACGGCCGCTGATTGGGCAGCTGGTTGGACAAGCTCACCACGGACATGTAAAATCGCACGCCAGTTTGAGAAACGGCCACCAGGTTAACGTTGGCCGAGTCGCATGCCTCCACGGCGGATATGCTCACGATGGGGCGGAAATTTTGGCTGTCCAACGTTCTACAATAATCATAAAACGTTACCGAAAAGCGTTACCATATGGTTGCTAGGCAGTTGTTGGCATGTTTAAAATAAAACAAAAGGTTTTAAACAAACTTTTTAAACAAGACGAGTTTTAAACTAACCATAAAAAACTTGTTGCTACACGGAAAAAAATGTTTCTTAAATGTAAGAATACCTTTATTCTTAAAAAAATTCACTTGATTTAAGTATAATTTGCTTAGGCTACGAATACATTAAATTTCTTTTAAATATTAACCCATCCATAAATTAATAGTTATTTATGGTACTAGCAAAATAAGTCACGTCGTTAGACCGAGTGGTATAAATTCTCAAGTGACTTAGGAAACATAACACACGAGTGGCATACAATGTTTTATTAAACAAGTGGAAGAAATCGTGTTTTATGAGGTAATAATTAATAAGCTTTGTGATCAAATTAAACATGGGGCCCGAACTTAATAGGGAAAATTGACAAAAACTGTCCACTAAATTGCACGAATTAAGTATTTTTTTCACCACCAGCGGCGCTGATTGTCGATGCGTATGTATGACGTGAAAGTAGTATCGAAAATACATGTGAAGTAAGCCAGTAAGTTTTGACAATTGATTTGCAATAATGTTTTCACGTACGAATCGTTTTGTTATTTATGGCTGTACCTGGTAGGTAGATGCTAATGAATAGGTTTTGGTTGTGAAATATAAAGTGATTCTTTATAATCTGTGAAGTGATTTTACGACTCTGGAGAAGCAAAATTAGATTTCCAGGTTAGAAATACATCGTTATTTAATAATTTAAATTTAATTTAAATAAAAAAGTATGTATAAAATGAGTAAACAGCATATTTAATAATTTCCACCTTTATTTGTTTATATTGAACTTTTATTTTTTATTTAAGCCATCTACCTATAAAACTAAAAATAAATACCATATGGATTTAATATATTCTGTTAGTTTTACACGCTTTAACACCACAAGACATTCTTTTATAGAAAAAAACACGTATTTTTAAAAAAACTGTACTATGCTCTACATCAGAAAGTCCAACATGAATTCCAATGTTAAATTTGATATAAATTTATTGTAAATTAAGACCTTTATACGCCAAACCAGGTACATAGGTACATTGTTTTCAGAAAGCGATAAACTGACAGTTGCCTAACCTCAATTATTTGCACAATAATAAGTGGTAGGTAGTGGCGCCATTTCTGGTTATACCCCTCTACTGTTTTGGTACGGTAGTACACCAGCGCCCTCTTATCTTAGGAAGATTCTTGTTTACATGAAGTTCGGGCTCATTGTGTAGTCTCCATGAAATTAAAGCTCAGTACCCTACAAATGTCAGAATGACTTGACAGTGACTTTTTTACATTTTGGTCAAAGTAGGTTGTTTGTTTGGTTGCCACGGGCATGATACATTGTTAGCAAATATTAAAATCAATTTTCACACTTGTCAGTTTTCCCTGCAGAAAAGGGACGATTTTTTTAAGAAAAAACGTATAGAAAATGGAGGAAACCGATGAAAATTACGTTTCTGAGGATATCCTTACGGAAGCGGAAGAAGCACCGATGCAGATTTTGCCAGAAAAGTCCCGAGATGATTACGACAAGGAGTTCGAAATGTTTGAGTCTTGGATGAATTCACGGAAAATAAAGGTATCGATGAAAATGTTCTATTGGCTCATTTTTTACATTTGCAAAATTTTAGCCCCATCGTCGCTATGGACCAAATACTCGATGCTTCGCTCGACTATTCACCTTTATAATCGACATTTCAAAATATGGCAAACTAACGAGCTTTTTGAAAAGCAAATCACAGGGATACAAACCAAAGAAGTCCAAGAACGACCTGAAATAGAGAAGTTTTTGAACGAAGCTCCCGACGACGAATACCTGTTGATGAAAGTGGCTTTGAGTGGCATTAGCGGTGCCTGTAGATGCGATGAATTGGTCAATTTGAAAATAGAAAATATTCAAGACAAAGGGAAATATTTTCACGTAGTTTTGCCAGACACTAAAACCAAGAAATTGAGTTTCACCATACTGGAAGAAGGATTTCCAGTCAACCCGATCAATTTGTGTAAAAAATACATGTCGTTGAGACTAAAGAATACTAGTTCTAGCCGCTTTTTTGTTTTTTACAAAAATGAGAGGTATACCAGCCAGTTTGTGGGAATAAATACGTTGTCGAAGATACCTTCAAGAATTGCTATGTTTTTGAAATTGGAGGAACCAGCGCTCTACACCGATCACTGCCTGAGAAGGTCTTCGGCGACTCTTTTGGCCAAATTGGCCAGGCCAATGCAGGGGCTACTTTGAAACGTCACGGAGGATGGAAGTCCTCGACGGTAGCAGAAGGATACCAAGAAGAATCTAGCAGTTGTACCGATTTGGAAGTGTCTGGTTCCAATGAACCAACGAATTTTACAATGACTTCAAATTCGAATAAACCGTTAGCGTTTTCCTTTAATTTCAATATCAATGTGAATTATAATACTACTTTAAATATGAAGTGAGTTATAATCCATAACTCACTACTAAGTTATGGATTATAAGTTATAACACACTAGTGTGTTATTTGATAGTTTACTTGTCTAACATGACATTAATAATGACAGTCATAACTGTTATGTGTTGGATAAAAAGATTTTATTTCTTAGCTTAAAATCAAGTACAGTTGAAACAATATGATTGACCTAATATTGTCAAGGCTATAACTAACATTAAACTAAATATTAATCTTTCTTTAAACAAGCATATATTATTCTTGCCTGTTAAATGTTAAGAAAGACTAATCTTATTCTTAATTTAAGATTAACAATCGATTAGACCAAATTTTGGAAAATTCCCTCCATTCTATTCTCAAAGATATAAAAATATACTGGATTTAAATATAATTATATTTATTCTAAGATTAGTAAATATTGGTACAACCAGTGTTGTTACAAGTAAAAAAATATTTGTACCAGTTTCTAGGGAATTATTGTACCACATTGTACCAACATTAAAAATTGTTCAAAATGGCGGGAAATACAAATTTTAAAATTTATTAAAAAATGCATATTTATTTAAAAATATATAAATAAAACGTATATAATATATGTTATAAAATAAAACAGTCTTTCTATCACAAAAATAAAAACAAAATATCAGTTAAATAAATAAATGTCTTTCTCACTAGAAAATAAAATACCTTTGGTTAAAAACTATCAGTTATTTAAAACGCTGTGACTAGAGGCACGCTAACGTGCCGCGATTTGAAATGTTAAAGGCACGTTAGTTACGTCATAAACCCAAACCATCCCAAACTCAACAACACAACCCAACCGACCCCGCCCCATTGGCCCCCCCGCCCCATTGAGCAAAAAACCCAACTAAAATGGGCAAATTTATGTAACGATAAAAATAAAACACTTTTTAACAAAGGAACAACAAATTTATGAAATAAAAAAAGTTCGACAACTTCTAGTAGATTTTATGTTACGATAAAACTAAAACAAACCAACCAACCCAACCCAACCGAACACTGTTTAACAAAGAAACAACAAATTTATGAAATAAAAAAATAAAAAAAGTTCGACAACTTCTTAGTATCGAACCCGGGACCTCTCGCATGCCAAGCGACCAAAAATCAAAATCAATATATTTCTAAATTAAATAATTACAGATCATAAAAAGGGTAAATAATAAAGGCCGCAATGTGGTAATGTGGTTGGCTGTAAAGAGGCGCGTGGAAGTGTGGTTCCACCTCTTGAGCCTCCCTGCGGTGAAGATGCGTGGTACGGGTGGTAGCAGCGCAGTCTTCCGACGGTCTTTGTCCCTTGTACTAAGCCCTTTTTATTAGCGACCGCCCTACCATATGAGCTATCTAGCTTGATGTCAAATATTAAACGCTCGGGGAACAAAAACGAATTATAATTATGACGTAACTAACGTGCCTTTAATATTTTCAATCGCGGTACGTTAGCGTGCCTCTAGTCACTGTGTATTTAAAAATATAATAAATAATTAACTATTCTGAATCAGAATCTATAGTTTATCTTAAAATTACGTGGCGGTAAAATAAGACCATTTTTAATATTTTGTTTCACAGCCAAAATATTTGCACATGTATTTATTTTAAGTATATTTCTTAATTTTGATTTTATAATACTTAGCTGGGAAAACACCCTTTCTGCAGCAGCAGAAGAGTGTGGTAAAGAAAATACACACTTTACAACCTTCATTATATTACCAAACCTCAACTGATGGCGCTGGCACAAAAATGAAATAAAATTGAAAAAACAAAAATAAAAAAAACTATTTTTAAAAATTGTACAAAATTTGCCATTGTGGTACCATTATACCAGATAATTCTCAAATGTACCGAATTTGGTACAATTGTACCAATTGTAACAACACTGGGTACAACTGGCCTATTCTTAAAAATATCCCCCACTCACGAAAGTTTCCGACATTTTGGAAGATTGTTTCTTGTGTTAGGTCGACTAAAAAATAATTTTCTAAACTGATGTGAAAGTTTTAAGCCTGAATTATAGATTGCCTTCCTTCCTCCCGTAGAAGATGAATAATACCCAATAAACATTTTTGACGTAATTGTCACCATTAACATTTCCCGTGTAAGAATTTTTAATACTTTGTGATAATATTTTGCAATTATAGTAATAAAAAAAATCAAAGGATAAAATATTTTCTTAACAAAATCATATTTTGAAGTTATTTTAATATTTTAAAGTATCAATAATTGTTAAGTTTAATTAAAATTAATAACGGGCAATGTTAATGGTGACAATTACGTCAAAAATGTTTATTTAAATCGTAGTGCCATTTATAGTTCCCGTACCGTAAGGACGGCATTCCTTCCTCCCGTAGAAATTTTTAAGTTTTATCTTTCACCGTAAAGGTTTTTGACATGACCAATTACAGTGCTTGTTATGGACATCATAGGGTGACAGCGCGTAGGCACAAAATATTTAAAATACATTATTGTTTAGTATTATTTAAGATAGGTGTTCAGTTTATTAAATAATTTGTGTCTCTAAATAGGATATTTAGATATTCTTTATGATCAATGTCTTTCATTTTTAGAAACGTTGCTTTGTACTTTACTTTTTTACCAAATTCATATTTTTTGTCAAGCCTCATATATGACAGAAAAAATTGATATCTGATGATTTTATTTTAAATTTTAGAACATGCAAAACATTTTATAAAAATAACATTTCTTTGTAAAATTAATAATAAGAAAGTTTACCATATGTTGCCAACCTAATTAGGTCCACTTAAGTGAACACAATGTATAATTAAACTATTAATATTTGTATTATAAAAATAAATAATAATAAAATAATTTCTTACTTGACAGTGGTCATGGCTTGAGATACAAGTTGAGCCTGCGATAACTTGGTAACTCTAGAAAACGTATTTCCTTTTTCTCCCAAGTCGCAAACTTCAATGGATCCTTTTTCAGTTAAAATGTAAAGTATATTTCTGGTGTTATCGATTGCAATTTGAGCGATGCCATCCTCCTCGCTAAGGGCTGCATTTAAAAATGAAGGTACCAGAAATGAAAGAGAACTGGTCGATAAGTTGACTTTTTTGCATCTTTTTCCAAACCAACCACTTTCAGCCTAAAAATATTGTTTTTGGCATGTTGTTATGTTTTTAAAAGTAAGGTTAGACAATATCTGTCACTTGGACAGACAAAAAATAAAGGTTATGTTGTCAAAAAGTGGGGGTTAGACAGACGAGACGCTGAATGCCACTGGCGGCTCCTCTTACTGCGCATGATCGCTTAATTGACAAATGTGCCGCGATTCGAAATGTTAAATGCACGTTAGTTACGTCATAAAACCAAACCAACCCAAACTCAACAACACAACCCCCGTAACTAACGTGCCTTTAACATTTTCAATCGCGGCACATTTGTCAATTAAGAGGAGCCGCCAGTGGCATTTAGCGTCTCGTGTTAGACAGCAACTGTCACTAAGACAGTTGCAAAAACTGTAAGGTTATGTTCCAATAATTTGGTTCTTTTCATGTCACTGCGCAAATTTTTATGACAACTAAAGTAACGCGTAACGAAAATTTAAATACTTTTTATATTACCTGGTAGGAGATTTCAAATAGATTCCCTTCCTTGGAACCCAAAAACAATCTTCCAGAGTCAGTGCCAGAAATGGTGGATATTGTGGCGCCATCTGTTGAAATTGTGAACACAGGATCAGGTATAAGCTGTATCTCATCATTATCCCCCTCAGCCCCTTCAGTAAAAGTAACTCCCAACACAACAATATCCACTGACGTCGTAAGAACCAACAAATATTTTATGAAATTATGAAAAACTCCTGGTTTGGGTTTTACTAATCCCACACACAAAATGGTTTCGTTGATCCCATCGAAATAAGCTAAATCAGAGTTTTCTTCATAGGTCCAAACATAAATATCACTGTCCACTGTTAACCAAGCTCTGTTTATTTCTGGGAACAAGCCCATCATGCAGTGGCATTGAATATCTGGCATCTATTAAGAAAAAATATATTTTTATGCAATTTAAACTAACTTAAACACTTGTAAAAGGATACGAGTAAAATGATCGACAATTTCAGGTGGAAGAGGAATATTGTTCACAGTCTTGATTTGTGTCATATTATTCAAAGTAAAAGGGATCCCGTTTAACAAAGGGTAATCATTATCAATAAGACCACTGGCTGTAGACCCTGTTTGTGCATTTACATTCAATTGATCAATTAATCTTGGTGCCGAACAATCTATGTTCAAAGATCTATCAACGTTTCTCGCCGCAATCTCCATTTTTTGAAGAGGCATTCGAGTATTATCCATTGTTTGGTCTATAATTGAACTAACGTTCATGTTTGGCGGTTTGATTATAACCTAAAAATCGTCATTATGCAAAGAGTTCTTTAAATACCCCAATTTTTTATTACCTATACAACTAAAAATATTATTAATTACAGTTTTACCTTATTACAACTCGTTGTATATTCTAAACAAACTTATTAATAAAATAAACACAACACATGACAAAACGTCAGTTTTTTAAACAACCCTTTTGAAGTTGGTTACAAGCAGCTTTGCCAACATAACCGTGAAAAAAATCCCTCTGCTCCGCAGACTCTGCGGCATAGAAATAATAATATTATTAGTATTATTTCTATGCTCTGCGGTCTCAAAAATTTCCCTAGCTTGACATTTTTTTCCCTAGATTCAACCACAAAATTAAGAAGATTATATTCTTCTTACACAAAATCATAAAAAAGGATATATATATATATAGTCAATTGTTTCAGAATAAACGGTACACCAGCGCCTACTACTGAAAAAAAGGCTTAATTTGTGCAATTTAGAGGAAAGGTTTTGTCAATTTTTCCTATTAAGTTCGGGCTCCTTGTGTAGGTTCCATGTTATTTGACATAATATTATTAAACAAGATACATACAGGGATACATATAGGATCATGATACAACATGATGTATCATGAGATAGGATGGTGCGCATGTTGGGCGGGGCTTAATGACGTCACTTGATGAGTGTTTTTAAATCTTTAACGTGCTTTTTAATTTTCTATAGATAATTAAAATAAATAGATAGTATACTGCTAAAATTCTTGTTTTTGCGATGCTTTTGGATGGTAACTTGCTCTACTTTTTGTTTAACTTGTCGTTTTTGTGTTCGGTAAGGTTCGAATTACTTTTCAGCGTTCAAATTATTGTTATTGCGTTAGGTTAACCTGTTAGGTTTGTTTATTATTGTTTTTGTGTTGCGTTAACTTGTTTTGTTTGTGTTTCAGATTGTATAGTTCCATTTGCATTTATTAAAATGCGGTGTGGCATATTTGGATGCAATTCGGACAACCAGTCCAAGAAAAACCCTTTAAATAAAAACATTAAATTTAATCAATTCCCGAAAAAAATTGATTTGTGGAAACAGTGTTTAAATGCCACAAAAATAATAGACAATATTTACATTAAGACCGCTTCAGTTTCCAGTGATGTAACCGATACATTTTTTTCAGTATCTAGGTACCGATACAGATACTCTCTGGTAGATGTATCTGGGTACAGATACCGATACATTTTCCCAAAAGTATCTGGGTACATTCAAAAAGTATCTAAGTTACTTCCAGATACTATGTTAAAAAAACTTATAAACAAGCGTGTTAACTATAAAATAAAACTGTTTTGATAAAATTGACGAAATATCCATGAAAAACGGAAATAAATTTTATATTTACGCGCCATATGAAAGCTTACTACAAAATTTGTAGTACAAATTCAAAATTATCGTTAGGTCTCTGGGTTCGGTACAGTGTTGCCAGATGCTTTTTCCTGTAAATCCATAGAGGGTGGGAAAAAGCGTTAAGCCGGATTTATAGATTGCCTTCCTTCCTTCTTTCCTTCCTCCCGTAAAATATGAACAATACGAAAACAGTAGTTCAGTTTATAGATTAGGGTACGGGAGTCTATACACAGCACTACGGTTTTCGTATTGTTCATCTCTTACGGGAGATATCAAAAATATCCAATGTAGGTATACCTATATACATATATCCTGGATATCCATAGAGTATATCCATTGGATGTTCATTTTCTGTGTGGCCCACACGGTGTGGAGTTGCAATCAGGTTGGGTAAAATAAAATGTATCTTGTATCTAAGGATCTAGATACTTTCAAAAGGATCTAGATACTAAAGTAGATCCTGATTTTTTTAAGTATCTCGATACGTATCTAGGTACATAAAATGTATCTAGATCCAGTATCTAGATACATGTATCTCGATACATTACATCACTGTCTGTTTCCTATAAACATTTTCTGGACAGTGATTATAGTCCACATAGCAAAATAATATACCTAGCATGTGCTCAGAATCAACTTCTTACGTATAAGGATATTAGGAATATGTTCTGAGCATATGCTAGGAATAATGCTTTTATATACTAGGGAAATGCTTAGCATATCCTTTTGGCCACAAGTAGCATGTGCTATGCACTACAATTGAATACGTCAATGCAGAAACTGAATATGTCCTACCTATCTAGTTTTGAGATAAATAAGAAAAACTGAACAGAAAGTGGACATATGTTCTGGACATATTCAGTTTCTCTACTATATTAACGCCTTTGTATATTCTAGATTACCGTGACATGTGAAATTTCTACGCCATTCGATTGGGCTCCCTTTACTTATAGTAAATCCATGTTTAACTCAATAGCCCTAAAAAGTGGACATATTTAGTTTCTGCATTGACCTATTCAATTGGGAATGTTCTAAGAATATACTGGGAATACTTGGCTATATATACATAGCATATTCTGTGAACATACTTGGTAAGGTAAAAAAACAGCTACCTATATGCTTAATAACATTTATTAAAAAAAAGGTTATAATATGTATTAGGTATTGTGTTCTTCCTCATGCTGTTTGTCAGCCAATCTAAAAAATATATATATATAGGAAGTATTATTATACAGGGTGTCCCAAAAAGAATGAGACATAAGGTAACATCGTATTCCTTACGCAAAAATATTGTTTGATGTGGCTGACTGTGTTGGAGTCAAATGAGCCAGCGGCTTAAACCCAGATTGATCACTTCGTGCAAAATGAATAGTAGGACTTACTTCAAACAGACTTGAATCAATATTATTACTACCTCGATTACTACACTTGTTACTACATGTTGGTTTAGAAGATGGTGGAGATGAAGAAATAGAAGTAGAAACCTTAAGAGTGTCATTTAAAGTAAGCAAAAGTTCTGCTTCACGAGTTTTTTTAGTCACCATACGTCTAAGCGAGCGTTTAATTTTTGGGTGGTTTTTTGTGAACATTGTATGTCCTCCAACTCAGCTTAACCACAAGTTGTGGTCCACAACTAACCTTAAAAAGTCAAGCTTTTCAGTCTTTCCTTTCCAGACTTCAATAAACTCTCACATCAAATACAAAACTTAGGAACTATACCTCTGTGTATAATATATATAATATTTAGTGTTTTCTTTTAGGGCTTACACCACTTACGACCTACACCACAAAATATAACCCCCTTGTCAGAGGAGTGCAATGCAATGCCCACAGAATACAATGCCCCCGTGGCCACCGTTTACGCACTATTTTAACTGCACAGCACTTTAACCTTTAACCGTTTGTTTGTTTGAAACTTTTTTACGATAAACAAATCCTCGGACAAAAGACAAACCAATAAAATGGCGTGCGGCCGAGTTGACATACAACATAACAACAGCGCCACCTGTTGCTCGATCTGTGACAGATCGATCTGTCACAGATCGAGCAACAGGTGGCGCTGTTGTTATGTTGCATGTCACAAGCATATACTACGTACATGCTACAACTTAGTCAAAAGTATATCCTGTAAAATTTTTATAAGCATATAGCGAAATATCCTTAGCATATGCTATGAATAAATGCACGGGAATATACGTTTTAGAATATAGGTGGTACATGTTTATATATTCGTGGAACATGCTAAGAATATAAGAATATGAATATAAGTTTAGGTACATTCTGGGTATATGCTATAGATATGAATATGCTTTTTATTGTTATGTGTTATATTATTATATATATAAGTTTAATTTAAAACACCAACGCTTAAGCGTTTAATTAAACTACAGCCCTAAATGTTATCAAGGACTGATTTATTATCCATATTATAACACTTTCTTCAATATTAAGTTTAATAAAAACGCACTATGTCCAGAAATTTCTCTATTTTCTTTGATAATATTATACTACATATTATTCGTGTATTCGCACGGCAACTACTCATCAAGTGACGTCATGCGCAGGACGAACCAAAACTCGTACACGGGAGCATCCAGCCCTATTTAACTTAAAAAAAAAATAAAGTGTAAAATAAAGAAAAAGCTGGTGGATAAATCCACCATTTATCGCTTCTGGCACAGTAAACTGTGCTTTTGCTTTCTTCAAACAGCCAGCCATTTCATTTATTTTACAGCTGTAACAATTGTTAACAATACAGCTGTAAAATTTATATTTTAGAAAAAGTAATACAAATTTAAAATGGTATAAAATCTGTAATAATTTTTTAAATAAATTTTGAAATTTGTCAATGGGTCATTCCACGTTAAGCCGGGTCTACAATTGTCGCAGGGGTCCGATCGCAGAACATAAGCTTGCGCAAAGCACCCCGCGACCTGGCGATGCATCGCGATGGAGCAAGGTTCTTTTGTCAGCTGGGTGCTTTGCGCAAGCTTAAGTTCTGCGATCTGCGACCTGCGACAATTGTAGATCCGGCTTTACTCGGGGATTTTTGTCCCGCCCGTCACAATTAAAAATTGTGAGTAAAAACTAGACGTTATGAAATTTATTTTAAAATATTGTTTATTATGCTTTTAAATACCTAAGTTATAAGCACAATAAAAATAATATTATAAAATATTAATTTAATAACTTGTGGTTTTTACTCACAATTTTTAATTGTGACGGGCGGGACAAAAATTAACGAGTAACGTGGAATATAGGTAGTATGGTAAATTATAAATTGCACCACTAAAATTTGTATTAATATTTTTTCGCAAACTTCTATTTAAATTCTGCTTGCGCAGAACTTGTTAATTTAGTGTCATTATAAACTTATAAATTTAGTGTGGGTCCCATGTCTAATAAATGCAACTGCAAAACTGTTTGTAACATTTGAATCTGATTCTACCAAGTTAAAATTGTAAAAAGTGAGGTTAAAACGGCTTGAAAGATGTCAGGTGTCAAATAAAATATAATATAAATTTGGCTTTAATTTTCTTGAGGTGGCTGAAAAAAATATTGTGTTGCGACCATTGATCAAAAGAGAAGATTACACCCGCGTGTGACTCTAGAGGAATCTCCTCTTTCTCCCACTAGTCGCACAAATTGTGCGGCACAATATACTATTTCCTTTTAGCGTTTGTGCTTTCTTACCTTGAGAATACATTTTGGCTTGGATCAATACTGCGTTTTTAATGATAACTCTATTATCACCAGATAACTATTTTTTTTTAAATTGAACACTCTGATATATTTTATCTTATGTAGGCATTAGTAATGCCCCATAAAATTGTAAGCCATGATCCTGAGAAAATCCATATACCTGGCTCTTACACTTATAAACGTTACAGTTTTAACATTTTACATAAGCGGCCATAAAAAAGAATCTGTGCCACAAGTTAAAAAATTTAGTGAACCACTGAAAACAGTTAATATTAATTCTACAAAATACATTTTGTATTGGACACCGCAGTTCTACAGAGAAGATTTTTTCCTCGGTTTAGGGGACATATTCAAGCACTGTCCAGTTTACAATTGTTTCGCTACAAATGATAAAACTTTATTGCCAGTAGAGAATTTTAGTGCTATATTGTTCCATGGCAGGGAGTCCCTTGTGGAAATTTTTCTCTGAGAAAGTCTTACTTTCTCTGAAAAAGTCTGAATAATACTTATTAAGTCGGAAAAAGTCAGAATAAGACTTATTAAGTCGGAAAAAGTCTGAATAAGTCTTATTAAGTCAGACTAATAGCAAGATTTGGGAGTCTTCTGGAAGAGTTAATAAGACTTTTTAAGACTTAATAAGACTTTTAGTAGAGAAATGGTAGGTACCTACGGAGATAAAAATAAATATCCGAAATAATTCATAGAGGTTGTATTTGGTTATCGTAAAAAAAAACACATAGAAAATTATTTATTAACATTTTTGCTGTTGTTATAAGCCAAGTTTATTGCATAATTACCTATATAATAACATAGGTAAGATGTAATAATTAGGTATAACAATTATAATTTTATACATACGATGCGCTTGACATGCATGCTTCCACCATAGAAAAAGGAGTTGCCACTGTACGTTTTATTTTAATAGTTTCTTTTGATACACGCAAATATTTACCTATTTAAACATTGTTACAAACAATAGACG